CAGTAATCAGCCTGCAAAACTGTGTTGAGGTCCTGTGATGCTTCATTGAACTCTTAGGTGTGTTAACAGGGAAACCCCACCATTGGTACCCAAGCTAGGTTCCATTTGGAGCCCCCAGACACATGAACTTAGCCTCCATCTGACTGTGGCATTGTAGTGCACAAACATCTGCTATTCTTGCCCCTCTAGGATTCAGACTATGAAGAGGCCTACTGATGAAGTGTGTCTGATGGAAGAAGGGTTACCTAACAACAGGAAATATCCCATTCCCCTGGCCAGGAGTGCCACTGGCAGGGATGGCAGTGACAGAAGATTCTGAAGGTCATTGGTGAAGACTTTAAGGACCATTTATTTATTGAAGAAGTGTTCGTTTTATATTTATAAACTGTTCAGAAACTTCCAGAAGGGACTCAGGCCTTCCCTTTTTTTTAACACATTTGGATGGAACAAAGAAATTCTTGTCTTGAACAGAAACACACCCCTTGGTTTACCTTCGCTCTTGAATGTAGTTCGTGTTTTCTTCCAGTTGCCTGGAGGAGAATACTAAACGTCTGTCACTCTGCTGATGCCAAAATTGTACTTTTTAATGATGTGGAGCTTGTAACTTCCTGCTGACGTGCAAATGAACAACACGCTTGTTTGGGACGGGTAGCCTTTGCTTCCTCACGCACGTCTTCTGTTGGAGTATTCAGTGTGTGTTATGTGATTTAATGGTCATCAGTTGTGTTTGCAGGACCTAGAGTATTTGACCTCAATATTTTTAGATTCAGTAGGCTCATAGGTTGTCGACTTGTTTTAACGGGGTCCTTTGAGTATTAAAGTGTTATCAATTTACAGTTAAGGAAGCAGATTTTGAGGTAGAAGAGTCTTTCTCATGTGTATTGCTAGGTATACTTTGGGCCAAAGAATCTTTGTTGTTTTGTGTTCCTGCGACTGACTAATTTGTGGTTTCCTTCTTCGTTTTTCAAGTCAGAGGCAAGAAATGCCTCTGAAGAAGGTTTTTAGAGGCGACTTGTGAAATATTTTTTGTAGTCCTCTCCTTAAGTCTTTTCACTTTTCTTGTGTTGTTGTTATTTAGAGCCTTTTCTAGCTCCAGGTTGCGCCAGTGATGGACACATTACTGCATCTGCAAGCTGGTTTTCTCAGTACGGAGATGAGGAAGTGAGGTTGCGCAGGATATCGCCTCTCTCTTCTCTCAGTGCCTTGTAACACACACCTCTGCTGTTCTGGAGCAACTTATTTAAAATTTTAATTTATAATAGGTTTTCTATAAACCATCAAGATGCCCCTGACGTATCAGGGAAGACTGACAGCATGTGTGCAAACAGCCCTCTCTATAGTGTGACAGGGCTCATGGCTCGATGGTGAGAGTCACAGATGACCCCTCCCCCAGCCTTGCTGGTTTTCTTCATGGTTCTTCCTAAAGTGGCTCGGGAGGGCTCCGTGTTAGTGTTATATACTATGTAGCTTATAAAAGTCATTCTACTTACCACCAAGATCTTATTCTTGAAACTGGGATCTTTAACTCTTAAAAGATTTGTTAATCTAGCCTGATGACTCATGAATCTGCTTCTCTGATAAGACTGTGATTGACCTCTGGTCATGGGAGGCCCCAGAAGAGGCAGAGGAGGACCTGGCATTTTATGCCTCTAGTAGCTAGACTCCATGGCTCCCTGGGCTGCTTGTTAGAGCTGTGGTTGTCCGTGGCCACTCCGGTGAGACCTTTTCTGACAGGTCAACAGAGAGAAGAAAGCTTTCCGGCACCAAGCACAAAGATCTGAAGAGAGTGGTCCAGTTATGAGGGAGGCGTGCTGTGGGCCTCACTGCTCTGTCTGAAGAGAGTGATCCAGTTATGAGGGAGGCATGCTGTGGACCTCACTGCTCTGTCAGAGGTGTGACAAGAACCCATATAAACCATCATCCTGTGAAAACAGGGGGCCAGTTTTATGTCTTAGGATTTTCTTGCAAGTGTATTGTGAGGCTTTGTCTTGCTCAGAAATTGGTGAGTTGGATGAGGTGACCAATGCCTGACGAACACACACTGTTGTGAAATGGTTCTTCCTCCTTTAAATGACAGACCAATGCAGTCTTTCATTGTATGGGAGTTAGGTAGTAATTTTTTTTTTTTTTTTTTTGCTTCATGGGTTTGTGGTTGCATCCCAGGCCAAGGCTGCCTTCTTCACCCTTATACTGAGGTTTGCGCTATAACTTTTTTATCCTAAGGGCAATAAGGCGGTCTATGGAGCTCTACCTTTAAGAATGAATGTAAGATAAAGAGTTTTTGTTTGTTTGACTTACTGTTTTAATATCTTCTAAGGTGCCATTCTTATACCTTTTTTTTTTTCCATTTTGCTGCTCTGTGAGCTCAAACCACATGATATTATATCATTGTCTGGAAAGATATTTACGTCTTTCATTGTGGTTGTATCACCTTCTGAGTTTTATGATTTGGGCTCTTAAAAATGTTACAAAATGTGAGTTTATAAAGTACTTTTGTTTCCCCTGTGACCTGTGGCTTCAGGCTACTTGGGAACATCTTAACTGTCTGCAGCTCCTGAGTCAGGCAGTGGTGCTTCAGAAAGGAAAGTTACCTGTCCCTGCCACGTATATGTGCGTGTGTGTGTGTGTGTGTACGTGTACGTGTGTGTGTGTGTGTGTGTTTTACAGCAACAGAAAACCTGGAGGCCAAATCATGAACCAGAATGTTCTATCATTGTCACTGAAGAGGGACTCTAAGAAGATCCATGGAGTGGACCGAGACTCTTATTTAATTACCCAACTCAAAACTTTTCTGTTCGAAGAGTCCACTCCGGTGTTGAACTCTTCACAGCTGTATCTTATTGACTTTTAAAATCAAATTAAACTTTTGGTTTGCCGGAGGCTATGAGCTGTAAGGTGATGTTCATTGACATTGTGACTCATGGAATCTTTACTCCGCTGTAGTTAATAAACTTCTTTGCACTTTGCGGCTACCCTCTTCATGTCTGTCTACATGAAAATGAGAAGTGTCATGTGAAGAAGGGGGGTTGTGGTTTTCAGCCTTGAGAAGACTGTCTGGGCTGTATGCCAGCAGAACTCCGAATAGATGTCGCGGCTTGATGGAGCCAGCTCACACAGCAGGAGTTCATGTGCAATTTCTAGAAATGTTGTGAGCCAAGTGGCAAGCTGTTGGTGGCATGAAACCGACTGTAGTGGGAATATTTACTTGCAGCCGGTGCAGCATGGTCCTTGAAGCAAGAAAACACGCACTGGTTTTCAGGACAAATTCTAAAAGACAAGCATACCCAGGCTTCAGTAGAGCTAAGGGTGAGTGTGTGTGTGAGAACACTTACTTTGAAGGTGACTTAAAAAGGAGAGGTATTAGCATGGCGATGGTGGCACACGCCTTTGATCCCAGCACTCAGGAAGCAGAGGCAGGCGGATCTCTGTGAGTTCGAGGCCATCCTAGTCTACAAGAGCGAGTTCCAGGACAGGCTCTAAAGCTACAGAGAAACCCTGTCTAGAAAAACAAAACAAACAAACAAAAATTGGAGAGGTACCTTACCATTAGGAAGCCCCAAGTTGTTCCCCAGGATGGCACAGCTACTCAAAGTGTTTGCTAGGAGAATGACTTGCTCCCTGAGTGCTGAGGCCCTTACAGTCGGAGGGAACCTTTACAACATGCTAGGCTGCAGTACCTGGCAGGTGGAGCTTTGGAAGCTGCTGAAGGATGATTACTTAGCCTGGCTGCATTCTATGAGAGAAGGAAAGAAAGGGATGCTGCTGTATCTGGAACACAGCCGAATGCTTTTCATTCTTCTTAAATTAACTGTGCCTCAATAGGGGCTCGCTGTATATCCCAGGCTCTCTTCTCCTGCCTGAGCCTTCTGGGTGCTGAGATTTCAGGCAAACACTACTACAGCTGGCCCATTTGAGATCTTGCTTGCAGAGTTTGTAATCCAGAAAGGGAAGTGACACCTGCAAGGACCTGGAATGCGATGTTCACTTTATTAAGTTGCATGCGGTCCTTCCTTTTAGAATAAAAATATAAATGTCCTGAATGGGACATCAGTACCACCCCCTCTAAGGCTCAGAGAACATCACAGAAGAGGAGGCAGAACAAGTGGAAAAGCCAGAAGATAATGGAGTGCTATGCTTCTGGCTATGACATAGCCCTTGTAATCATGCATACACAGAAGCACAAGACCTGCGTGTGTGCACACACACTCATATACATGCAGACACGCACATGTGCGCGCACACACAAAAGCAAGAATAGGACTAGTTGGGAAGAGGAGGGGGATCAGCAGGGGTGAGATGGGAATGAGAGAGGGCAATGGGGTGAATATGGCATTACAACACACTGGGTAACATTTGTGAAGCTGACAAAAATCCATTCAAAAATAATAAAAATGCAGATGCAAATTGGGTAGTGAGACTGGCGACTGAAAGGAGAACCTTGATTTGAAGGTTCCTGTTTAGGTTTCTGTAGCTATCTCAGAAGGCATGCTTGCATCTGGTTTGCTGTGAGCCTGGCCTGCCGTGCTGGCAGACGTCTCTCAGTTGATGTGGGGGATGCTGTGGCAGGAGGTCGTGGTGCATTGCTTTTCCTGGGCGCTGTCATCTTGGGTAAGCAGTGACTTTGTGTGCTGTGGGCCATTGTTTGAACTGTTCTGAGAAGAAGGCTAGTTTTCAGTCAAAGGAAAGCTGGTTAAATTGGCATTGCTGTAGGATGAGGAGGCCATGCGTAGAGTTCCCAGTCTCCATAGGGGGGAGTTGCCATGAGGTAGACACGTAGGTACAACTTTAGTCTTCTTAATGTACTTTGTGTCAAGGGTCTCAGAGAAAAGAGAAGTAAGCTTTGCCACAAACGAGGTCATCCTATGGCTTTAGGCAGAGTGGTGACTGTCTGTTCATGAGCTTGTGGCTGTACTCCTCCCTCACTGTCTTCTCCCTGTTCCAGATACACCATCTTGTCACCCAGGCAGCAGTTCAAGTCTCCCAAGAGAGCTGGACTACCTGGCTTATCCCAGACCTCCAGAAAGACAGCCGCAAGCTGGGTTAGGACTAGCTACATGCTGGTCTGGAGGGAGTGGGAGATGGTTCCCAAGGTCCCATCTGAGTAGCATGTAGTATAGGTTGTGTTTCAAAAGCCACAGAGAGCCCCGTCTGTATTGCATGATCTCAGGAGGAGAAGCAAGGGCATATTTTAAGAGGTTCGTATCTCAGAGTGGTCGTGAGGACTCGTGTATGTCTGAATTTCTGAGGCTCCAAAGGTACACAGGAGCAGATGGGGGTTGGGGGCGCATAGCATCACAGTGGGGTGAGGCGTGAGTGAGGGTACACAGGACAGATGGGGGTCGGAGGGGCGTAGCATCACGGTGGGGTGAGGCGTGAGTGAGACTGCTACACAGCTGTCTGTATTTCTTTGTTACTGTAGTCTTTGTTACTACCGGGGCAAACTGGCTAGGAGACAGCACCCTGCTCTTCCACTGTCCTGCAATAGTGTAGTAATATGTAAATGAATATTGTAACCCCGATGGTTACACACACCCTAGGACAGATAGGAGATATTTGCCAGGAGCTATTGTGAAAAAGCCGTGATCTTGGGTCCAAATGCTCGACCAGCATGGAAATAACTGGCTCTGTGGCATTGAAACCTACAGCTGAGCTGCGTCAGTGGCTGGAAAGGGAACAGGGGAGAGATGGGAGTTTAAACAAGGCCTATCGGCAAGGTGCTTCTGAATGTGCTAGCTGGCTGGAGTTTTAAAAGCCAAGATTAATTGTGTGTAGAATTTAGAAGTTTGGTAATTGTATATGTTTCAAATATCTATGTGTATATATATATGTGTGTGTATGTATATATGTATGTGTTGTGTATTAAATAACATTTTAGTTGACAACACATAGACAGTGGTCCTATAGGGTCATACAGCCTAGTGGCGTTATAGCCATCTTAGTTTGTAGAAGCATACTCTCGGATGCTCACATAATGGAATTTCCTGATGATACATTGCCCCTCCCTAAGTGATGTGTGATGATGATGATGTGTGAGGGTATAAAAAATAGAATTTGTGAATGTTGGCCACCTACCCAGGAAACTGAAACTTGACCAGAGGATTCTTGGTAAGTTCCTAAGGTGTTATGAGCTTGTTCGAGAAGCTGTAAACTGAGGGTTTCCTCATCATCCCGGCGCTGGAACTGTAGTGGTTCATAGGCACCCTGTAGCCTCTTGGAGCTTAGAGCCTGGGGAGTGGTAGGAAGAGCAAATATTTAATCCGATGAGCACCCCAACAAATAGATGATTGTAAGTTGTGACAAAGGCCCCAAGAGAATTATAAGGAGTGCCATAAAGGTGTGGCTAGGTGGTCTGTGCTAGCATGGGCAGCTGAGGAGAGGCTTTCCTGAGGAAAGGAGATTTAACCTGACATCTGGAAGATGAATCAAAAGGAGCTAAGGGCATGTACGATGTATGCGAAGGTACGCACACTGAGGTTTGGAAGAACATTCCAATGGGAGTAGGGCAGATTAATCTTGTCTCCCCAAAGACAGCACAGGGAACGAACACACTAAAATGTCAGCCGCCCTGACCGGTGTGGAGAGACACTTCCACATGATGGTACAAGCTGGGGCTGAAAGATCCAGAATGCCAGGGGTTGAAGTTAGACTGTGCCAATCTACTGGGTTTTTAGGCAAAACATACCACTGGCTTGTACCTCAGTTTCCCCATCTGCAAAACATTTCATGGTTGTGGCGAAGACTGAGTTCATATGTAAACCACTCTGACAGTCCCTGGCCTCACAGCTTTCTGTTTATTATATCAATTCTTAATTTTTGGTGTAGTTGCCTATCAACTAGAAAAAAGAAAAAACAAATCTAAGCCTATAATGTTAAAGTTGAGTTCCAGGGGGTTGAGCCTGGAAAATAACTTTTTTTTAAAATTTAAATTCAATTCTCTTTCTTCTAGAAGCGTCACTTTTCTCTCCAGTCCACACAGAACACTATCACTGCACTGGAGTATTTGAGATTGAAAATGGGTATTTTTTTTTAATCCATCACACTGTACGTTTCCTAGAACTGGTTTGAAGAAGGCAGGGTGTGGCTCTGCACGAGTAAGTCGGTCCTTTTCAAGTTACTTGTTCCCTCGTAGAATCGTGTCAAGGGGTTGCAGGATGCCTTGAAGCTGATTTCAAGGTAACGATAACATTGCTGGTGACAAACATTCATTTGACATGCTCCCAGCAGTTTGTAGATCCTGTAGAACAGTGTTGGAGCACAAATACAAACAAGACATACATGACCCTGTCCTTGAGAGTGTAGAGACTTCAGTAGGCATTGGTGACAGACATGCAAATTAGCCATTACTCCTCTGAATGACTGGTGCTCTCTTGGGGGAATCCTGTGAGAGCTGAGAGCTGTTTGCTCAGCAGCGAACGGGACTCAGTATCTCCCTAGAAGGTGGCAGGGATCTTGGATGTCTGGATGTGATGGGCAAAGGATAAAACATGCTACAAGGAAAGCCTGTTATGACCACCAGTTGTGTATGTGTCGGGGGAGGTGGTTGGCACGGAGCAGGTCTGTGTTTTCCATAGAGGGACTTCTGTTGGACTCCTAACAGAACTGGGGCAGTGTGTGCATTGTCCACTGCTCAGAAATTCTAGTTCATTGTGACTGATGGTTTACCGTTCCTACAAAGGTAGGAACTCGGAGCCCAACGTCTCTAAAGTCACAGGCTGCTCTCTATCTGGCTCTTGAGTTCTAGAAAATGGGATCCTGTCTAGTGATGCTTCCTCTTTTTCAAAGCACTATTATCTGTGTGATCATATCTGATTCTTGCATTGTCATCCTGTGCTGTAGGTGAGGAAGCTAAGGTATACTGAGTCAAGGAAGACCTAGGGAAGGAATCTCCTTGAGCAGCTTCCATTTTCCAAGTGGCTTTTGTTGATTGGAATACAGGTAAGGCGTCTTTTTGGCAACCACTTAAAAATACATTTTATAAATTTTATTTTTAGAATTATGTGTATGTGTGTAAGTTTGAGTGGAGGTATATGCACATGAGGGCGGGTACCCTTGGAGGTCAGAGGTACCAGACATCCCTGGAGCTAGAATTGCAGGCAGCCGTGAGCCACCAGATGTGAGACTGAGAAGCAAACTCATCCCCTATAAGAACAGTACGTGCTCTTAAACTGCTGAGCCATCTCTCCAGTTCCAGGTGGCTGCATTTTAGAAAGGAAATGACCAGGGCCAGACATTCCAGCAGAGCTAACTGGAGTCCCCTGCTATTAATGCAGTAAGAGACCTGTCATAGCAGTTCTGAAGTAGAATAGTTCTAGTGGCCGAGCCTTTAGGCGTTGGGGTGGGGGCACAGCTGAGATGGTTGCAGTGATAGGCCTGATCCCCAAGATGGACTGGGTTGTAACTTCTTAATGTTAGGGTCCTTCAGTTTGGCTAAGAACATTTGGGGGCACTTTGTATAGAAGCACAGTGAGTCATTTTCCGAGAGCTGGTGGATGTCATGAGATTAATAGCGCAAATGTAACAAAGACATTAGACATGCTTTTACATGTTCAACTCAATTCTTAATTCTAACCGCACTGTCCTGCTTTAAAAGGTTGGAAAAAAAAGTCTTTCTTGTGGTGTCTTTGCATTTTAAATTTGATAAGTAGTGTCTTGAAGGTTTAACGTTTGCCCTTTGTGATCCGAGGCAATGACTCTCTTAGTGGGGCGATTGCTAGGCAGGTGTAATGACCGAATACAAACCATCGACCTGAACCGTCTTTACATGTGTCCCGGCAGCGATTCCCGTTCAGCGGGAGGGGCAGGTTAAAGTTGAGGCTACAGTTCCTGTATTGCTTGGTTTGTGTGAAGCGTCCAGGCTGTGGAATATCTAGGGCGGTTGTCTCAAAGGACTCAATTGCCCTTTTCGTTTGGAAAAGTGACTTTCATTTGACCTTCCCTTCCGGCCAACCTGATGCAGAGCCCAAGTGTCTCTCCAAGCATCACTTGGTTTTGTTTTGCTGTATCCATCCTCAACACCTTGACGCTGTCTTGTTCACGCATACTCTCGCCCTTCCCTCCCAACACTGTTCCTCATTTGTAACGTGTTCCTCATATGTAACGTGTTCCTCATATGTAACGTGCACCAGAGCTTTGTCGCCTGTGCTCAGTGCTGTGCCAGTGCCTCAGACAGAACCTGGCCACGCTGGCCCTGGCCCCCATTGGTGCTCACTGTGGGTTTGGTCAGTTAGCAATGCTCTCTGTACACAATTCTCTGCTTTCTCTTTTACCTTAAGATTGAAAACTTGGAAGCAGCATGTTTCGCCTCCTGAAGCTGATTGTGATCTCAGTGATTCTGGGTAAGTGGAAGCCAGAGACTGCGAACAATATCGGAATGCTTGTTTGTCTCACACCCGTAACTTTTGGGGGGCATTTATGTATTTGTGCTGTGCTGTGAGGAAGGGCATGCGGATGTCAGAGACAAATTGCAGAAGCTGGTCCTTTCCTCTGTGTGATTTCCTGGACTTGAACTCGGGTCTTCAGGCTTTGTGGCAAGTGCCCTTACCCACTGAGCCCTCTTGCCAGCCCCAGTCTCATCGCTTTAAAAGCCAAATTTTATGTGTGTTTAATTTCTTTTGATTTGTATGATACAGAAACACTGAGCTGGAACCTCTTGGTGAAACCACTGTTTTAGAAGCAGGTGGTTGGTTCTTCTTGCCTTCTTCCGTTTCTATTGGGCACAGAATGCCTTTGGGCACTTCCAGGCTGTTCCAGAGCGTACTCCTATGAAAGGAAGTTTCTCTATGGCATTCCTACAGTTTACGTGGTGTCTGTCAGTTACAGCTCATCTCAGATATGGAAGGAAAATTACCAAAGAGAAATGGAGGGGCCATTTGCTTTGTCTCTGTGCCTCAGCCTGACAGACGCTTTTATGGTTTCTAAACACAGGGAACTCTTTCCGAATTGTAGTTGTTTTCTTTGCCTGGAACTCTCTGTTCTCCCCACTTTTACCCCTCCCCCTAGCCCCTCACCCCAGCAGTCTTGCTCAAGCCTTCCGGATTCCACAAACTTCCCCTGAGTTTTACTTCCTTCTGGGAAGCCTGCTTTGGCCCCGGTAGACGGGGAGGGAATCTCCTTTTCAGTCCTTGCCCGGGTGCCCAGGGCAGCCCCTGTTGCTTGTCTCTACTTCCTTCTTTTCTCTTTCACTTTTCTGCCTATATCTCGTTCCTTATTCCATGGAAAGAGATCTGTGGGGAGAAGAAATTAATTTGGTGTTTTGCTTTCTTATTTACTAATTTAATTTGTAACCAGGGTCTTTCCATGTGAATGACCATGAGGCTATGATTGCTCCCGGGTGTGTTGAAGAGAAGGTTTTTATTGTAGATACAAGGAAGAGTACAGCCAGGGGCATCTGGAAGAGTCGAGACTAAACATGGCTGGCAAAATAGACCAGGCCATGAGAGAAGAGAGAGGTGGAGAGAATGAGAAAGGAAGAGGAGAGAGAGAGGGTCAAGAGAAGGGGTCAGGAGCAAAGAGCAGAGGACCAAGCAAGGAACCAAGAGAGAGAGAAGAACCAAGAGGTCAAACAAGCAGAGAGGACAAAGACAGCATGTGGCCAAAATGCCTGGGTTCTATAGGAACCAGAAGCTGTAGAGAGAGAAGGGAAGCTCAGGGGCTAGAGAGGCTTAGGGCAGTGAGGGCTGTGTGTTGGAGGGGCTGAGAGGATCCAGGACTCTGCAACAGGTACTTGCGATGCTGAGAGGACCTGGTCAGTGTGCACTTCGGAGTGTTAATTAGGCACCACGGTGAGCTATTTGTCTGGGGATTCTTTGGGGCTTGACACTGTGTAGCCCAGGGTGGCCTTGAACGCAGCATCTTCTTTTCTCGACCTCCTGAGTGTTGGGATCACGGCCATGCATCACCATGCCCAACTCTTCGTTATTATTCATTATTTTACTTATTTAAGTGGAGGCACAAGTCTGGAGGTCAGAAGACAGCTTGCAGGAATTGATTCGTGCACCATGTGGGTCTGGGGGATTGAACTGAGGTCATCAGGCTTGGTGGCATCTCACTGACCTCTTCATATTTTTGAGCTATGGACAGTGAACTTGACCCAACAAAATAAACAAAAGGGCTGCCTTTGCTCAATTCCAGGTGGCATAGAACACACACACTCTCACTCACTCACACACACGCACACACGCATACTCAGTTTTTCCTTGGGGAAAATTCCAAATAGTCACTGGAGCCGGTATGATTTCTTTCAAAATATCTCTATCCAAAGGGCTGAGAGTTTGTATGTTCTTTTCCGTCCTCCCCACTGTGTGAGCCTGCCGTTGGCCAGGAAGTTCTTGCTTTCCTCAGGGGAGACAGCTTGGATGGAAAGCCTGGCACCATTCCTGTTCATTCCCATATGGGTTCACTTGGCTCTTCTCTGATACGAACTGGGCAGCATCTAAATTTGCCTCTCGATTCTGTTGCCAGAGGATATCTCATGAAAACGGAAATGTCCTTGCCATGGTTTTCTCTTGTAGTGAAATTCTGTGAGCGACACACAGATGAGGGAATCTGTGTCCGCAAATGCCTCTTAAAGGGCAGAGTTGAAGGCGAAGCTGGAGGAAGGCGGAGGAGGGCGAGCACAGAGGACATTCAAAGGGAAAGCTGTGCTCCGTTCTGGCCTACTTAGCTGTAGGAAGACTCAGCCAGCAAATGCAGAGATAAGCTTTTCATGGAGGGATTAAATAAAGGGGAACAGAGGAGGAAAACAAAACAGGGAGTGAGAGGATCCGTCAGATAGGGAACCCGCGAGCTCACGCACTAGAAAGAGCCCACTTCCTGTTCAACGCTGTTAGGCACAGTGTGCGCAGAGCTAAGAGAAGTGAGTAAGGGGATGTGGATTTCAGATTCCCTTTCATTGGAAAGGCAGGGCAGAGGAAATGTAGAAAATGGGAAGGAACCAGCGAGGCCAAGGGAACCAGCTAGCTCTTCCTGCGGTTTGAAGGTTGCAGAATCTTTCAGACTTGAACCATGTTTGTAAGCAGAGGACAGATCTCCTTTGCCATCTGGTTTGAGTGAGGGGCCTCCAAGTGCTTAGACCATGCTGGATTGTGGGTGGAGGGGAAATGGATACAGTATATATAGAGAGATCTGAATTCTTTTGTAATGTCTTCTTCCCTTTAGCCCCAGTAGGTGATTCTCAGGGCCTGTCTGACACGGCTGTATCGTTCCCTAAGCTGAGAGTGCATGTGGGTGATTCAGCTTTCATGGGATGTGTTGTCCAGAGCGCAGACAAGAAACACGTGGTCAAAGTAGACTGGATACTCTCAAAAGGGGAACGTGCTGAGGTAAGGAGCCGGCCTGATGGTGTCAGGATGGGAGTGGGAGAATCAGCCACTGAGTCTTCCAGGTGATGTTGCAAGAACTCTGGGAGGCGTCATCAGTGGGCCTCCTCTCAGCGTAGCTCTCTGGCTGTGTGTCATCAGCAGGGCAGGTTATTCAACCTTGCCTAATTTAGAGCCACCCGCACTGTGAAGAGGAAACATGACCATAATGGTCCCAGTCCTTAACTGGTTCAGGGCCAATGGGAAACACGCGTGGAGTTCTCTGTTTGCAGCCATTGTCTTCTGCCCTACAGTGTAGTAAGGATGGATGTGAGAGGCAATTTCTGTAGTCTAGACAGATGAGCTAGGCATACGAATAATGGGTGTAGGCATCTTTCTGGGCCGGGGACAGGTTCTTTGGGTGATCATGCATTGCTTCTTTGCATTTGCTTGAAGTGCTGGGATTAGCAGCCAGGCAGGGGACTTGCTCTCATGACCTCTGACTGGGAAACTGTCCTCAGCTTCTGTCACAAAGCCCATGGAGAGGTGTGGGTGTCCGGATCATCTGTGAAACGTGACCCGAGTAGTTTGCTGCTAACAATGAAATGCCAGTGTTTGCAAATCGGCGGCTGCTTCTGTAGCTCAGAGCAGATTCGTTGCTACCCTCGCAATGCTATGTTCTCTCAAATTGTACTTCTATTTGCTGTTGTGAAAAGAAGCAGCGCTACGGGGAGTAGAATTAAGAATTCCCCAGAGCTCCCCCACCTCCCAGCTTGTAACCGTTCCTACTGATGACTCCTTTTGTGCTATGACATTGCTGGCTGGTGGAGGGCAGAGTTGAGGGGAGTGGCAACCCGAGCACCAGCAACACCAGCTCATGATACCAAGGAATTAGGTCATATATTTGAATGGCATCTCACCTGCCCTGTCATAAGACAGGAAATGGTTTGGATTTGATATGAGTTCTAATCCCAGAGTGATTATCAGAGAAGGTGTTGCATTTTTCCTTATGAAAATATGGATACTATGTTTCATTTGTCTGTATAGAAAATTAGTCATGGAGCCTTGTACAAGCTAGACAGTTGCCTGGTACATTAGCGTTATTAATATTAATAATATTAGCTGAGTACTTTTTGGTCATTATTATGGTGATAACGTCACTGTCTCCACATAACGGTCTTTTCAATCTAGACTGCCAGGTCTGGCTCCTCTCTTGACTTTCTCCAATGTTTATTCCTCTCAGAGTGAGTATGTACTGTACTATTACTCCAACCTTAGCGTGCCTACGGGGCGCTTCCAGAACCGTTCGCATTTGGTGGGGAACGTCTTACAAAATGACGGCTCCCTCCTGCTCCAAAACGTGCAGGAGGCTGATGAGGGAACCTACACCTGCGAAATCCGCTTCGAGAATGAGAGCAAGGTGTTTAAAAAGTCCGTGGAACTGCTTGTGCTGCCAGAGGAGCCAAAAGGTATGCGACAGTTACTCAAAGAGGGGCCAGAGGGTGACAGGTGGCTCGTGGGAGAGGGAGGGGAACTTATCAGCCTTTAGGCCCCCTTCGCAGAGCCTCTGGGAAGCTTGTCTTGTCCTTTCTGTCTTGGAGGAGGTCACCTCGGCTTGATGAGGCTGAGCCGTGTGCCTAAGGACACCTGTTTGTGACCCACAGAACTGAGACTTGCGCCCTGAGCCTTTTCTTTCTCTGCATTTTCTTTGCTGTGACTGCCATTTCAGTGTGCCAGTTAGGCGCACTGAGCCCTCGTCCATGTCTTGTAGGCTCCTATGTCAGGAGTTCTGGGGCCGAAGGAGGTGAGTAGCTTTCTCTTACTTCTTTGCCTCTCAGCTTCCCGTCTGTAAGTGGAGGGAGTGACGTCAGCAGGTTGGTAGCTTTAGTCCTGTGGCTTGAACCTTGGGGTGTCAGTCACGAGAGGCAAACATGCTCTCACTGAGCTATATTCCCAGTCCTGCTTAGTGGTTTTAAGATTTCCCTTTGGTGGAAACCTGTACTTCTGGAGAATCTCAGACAGAAGGTGAGGACAGGGCGAGGACTAGTGGAAGACCCCCCCCACAGGGGGGCCCCCCCCCCCCCCCCCCGCCGCTTTCTACCTACAACAACCAAAGTCATCTTCCTTGTTGCTGATCTGTTCATGGCAGTGCTGAGCCAGGCTTTGTTTAAAGTGAGATTCTGCTGCTTTCAAGCAGTCTGCAAGCGACAGTTCAAATTAAGGTACCTGGAGTTGTGGCAGGACAGACATTAAAGTTCTGTCTTCTCTCTGGCCAAGCTCAGAGGATAGCAGCCGAGACTGTAACCCAAAGAGTCGTTAAACCCTAGAGAACTCTCAAGACCAAGCCTCACATGCAGCAGCGGGACCTGGTGGATTGGTCTCGAAGGCAAAGGGTTGGAGGGTCAACCACCTGCTGGAAGGGAAGTCCCCAGAGATGGAGGGCAACAAAGTCATTTTAAATGGCAAAGACCGCTCCTTCCTTAGAGACGGTGACATTCAATAGTGACACATGAAGCCACCAACTCCAAGGATACTCTGAAATCTTTTGTTGTGTGAACAATTTCCACATCTTTTTTTCCTAGTAAATTAATTGTATCCAAACTAATCACATCCAGTGCACATAAAATTTGTTCATCATATCCATATAAACATTCCCAAACAAAATAGGTAAATAAAAAATATTAGAAAACTTCACAACTCTCTCTTTCCTAGCTAAGTGTGGTGGTACATACCTGTAATCTCAGCACTGGAAAGGCTGAAGTTGGTTCCAAGCTGCATAGAAAGTTTGAGACTAGCCTGTCTCAAAACAAACAAACAAACAAAAAACAAAGAGAAAATAATAAACATGCATTCTTTAAGAGTGGGGATAGCAGGAACTAACACAGAGATCCACAACTGCACACAGAGAGAGAGACTGGGGACCACGCAGTCCTAAAAGGGAAGTCATCATCACAGCCCTCGTCTCAAGGCTCAGGGAGCCCTGTGGAAGAGGAGGCAGAAAGATTAGAAGAGCCAGAGGAATGAATGATACCAAAGAAACAGTGTCCTCCAGACCAGCAGGGCCGATGCACACATGAACCCACAGAGACTGTGGAAGTTCACATGGGGCCTGTGCATGTGCAAGCCAGACAGGGTCCACACTCAGAGTTGAGGGTGGGCATGGGCTTTCACTCTTAGCAAAGAAGCTATTTTAATTGATACCAAGGAAAGATCAGTTTTCTCCAATGGAGTCTTACTGGGTATATCCAGCCACACCTCAGGACAGGTCACTTGCTTGGCTAATCAACACAAAACCAACCCAGTGGTATTTGTGTAGACTTTTTGTCTCAGTTTTCTTTGTTGGAGCTCTTTTTTTTTGTCTTATCAATTTTCTGCTTGTTTGTTTTGATTTTAATTTTTATGATTTTTGTTGTTGTTGTTCTTTGTTTTTTGTTTTTGTTTTTGCTTTTTGTTTTTTTTGAGAGACAGGGTTTTGCTGTATAACAGCCCTGTCCTGGACCTTGCTTTGTGAACCAGAGATCTGCCTGCCTCTTGAGTGCTGGAATTACAGGCGTGTGCCACCACTGCCTGACTGGGGTTTGTTGTTTTGTATGTGATGTTTCTTGTTTTTGTTGTCTGTTTTATTTTGTTTTAAGAGAGGAAGAAGAAGCAAGAACATAGGGTATGTAGAAAGGTGGGAAAGACCTGAGAGAAACTGGGGGAGAGGGAAAGCAGGATCAGAATGTATTGCCTGAGAAAAACGTTCTTCAATTAAAAAACAGGAGTGTGGGCCAGGGGCTGGAGAGATGGTTCAGTGGTTGAGAGCACACACGGTTCTTGTGGAGGACTGGAGTCTGGTTTCCAGCTTACAATGGCTGCAACTCTAGCTCTAGGGGGATCCAGCTCCTCTGGCTTCTTTGGCACCTGCACTCACGTGTACATGCCACCCCCACTATATATACTCATAATTAAAAGAGAATAAAGATGAATCTTTAATGAGCATGGCATGAAGGCTGCTTGCCTGCTGGCGAGGACTATAGACTAGGGCCTCTACTTTCCCATCCTAGTTTCAGTCCTTAGCGACTACACAAACTCCCCTAGCCCTTGCCTTTCCCTCTCATGATGCTAGTCATACCCATACAGTGTGTCTGCCCCACTTGTCTCGGGTTAGGCTCTTTGCCTCTGACAAACCTTTGGCATAGTACTTGGTAGAGTGCAGGCAATCAATACACATTAGTGTAATGGATGGGATTCTCAAATTAGTGTCCCTTGTGTGAGTCCAATTTGTGAGCATGGACTCATTACATTAGGGAGTGGCCTCTGGCACCTCCCCTCGTTTTCCCTACATCTTTTTTTTTTTCTTAATTCCAAAGCTGTGGTCCTCCAGGAAAAGGGAGGAAGTCTGATGTTTGCTTTCCCCTAAGACTCTCCAAGTGAGTCCCTTTTCGACCTTCATTCTCTGCTGTCTTATCTAAACCCTCCTCAAAATGCAGCCCACGAAATGGCTGCCCCTTCCCATTTTGTAGATACAAAGAAGGAGCCAACAGGAGCCAATGGCAAGGGGAAGAAGCCAGGGAAACCGGCTAGACTCACATTAGAGGTGGTCAGAGGCAACCCATATCTCCTTCCCCCTCCAGCCAAAGCAAGCGGATCTAACATTTTGCCTCCTTGTTGGGTGGTCCATGCTACACTTGTTGGTAGGCGTTGTCTTGTTTATGTGGGAGCTCCATGCTGATGGTCACCTGTGACTTTTTGTTGCAAAGTATACCCTCCAGGTTATAATCCTGCAATTCTGCTACTTCAGTGCCCCTGCCCATAGTTCTTAAATATTTTAGGTAAAAACAGCACTAGTTGCTTATTCTTTCGGTCCGGAACCAGACCTTTCTTCTCACGGGTGGGATGTGGTACAGTACACCAGAAAGCCTGGGCTTGTTTTGTTCTCACTTGGACTTAGGTGTGAGTTCTGATTTTTCTCTTTACTGACCATGTGGTTTTGAGTACCTTTCTTTGAGTAAAATAAAGAGCACTACGGTAAGAACCTAAAAACATTATAATAGCTTCGGCTAGGAATACTCTATGGTTGAGTGTGTCTTTAACATATATGAGGCACTGGGTGGGCTCCTACTGAAGGGACTGAACATACATGTTAGCCTGACTAACCGCTGTGCTGCACATAAGATGCCTGGCACATGCTCAGTGCTTTAAAGGGACTCAGAGTGTTCAGTTGTCATTATTGACTTAAAAGCTAACGTTCAGTTCTTAACAGGCTGACGTCATTGAAAGGGAGTTTCCTCTACTGATGTCCTTTGGAGTGGCTTTTCACGGCCTGCAGAAACATTCTCCACTGAGTCTAAGTTCATATTATTTTCTTTTGCTTTCTTCCCACTGTGTAGCTCTCTTACTTGGCAGGAAGTTCATGCTCTCCCAGGGAGGCAGCTGGGATGAAAGCTCTGCTTAGGCTCTACGCTTGTTTGCTCGGGACCTTTGCTTAGCATTCTTTCCAAGGACCTCTGTCTACTTAAGACTTAGGCTTGTGCCTCCCTCTGCGCCAGCCCTCCTTTGCTTTCTTAATCGACTTTGTGGCTGCTTTGTGGAGGGCGGTATGGAAAAGTTAGCAATACTGTTGTACTCCCTTTCTTTTCGGGGACCTCTTAGAATGACTTGTTTAGAGAGAGTGTGGCACAAGCCAGCAGAATGAAGCTCCTACGAGGTGGAAGGCCTGGAGAGCTGGAAGTGGGGGTGGGAGGCATATCAGTTGGGAAAGCAGGGAGGGTTCTGGAGAGGGCAGGATTGAGACAGAGAGGAAATAGTCAAGGGGAGAGCAGCTTCCTCGGCCTGATTTGCAAGGAGTCCCATGACCTGTGTTGAAGCCAGAACTACACCCCAAACAAGTCCTAAAATAGCTTGTAAAATGAGTAGAAGAATTTGAAGAAAGTTACCCATGATTTACTTTACCCCCCACCCCCAGTTCGAAGAACCAGCAAGTTATAGATAAGAGTGGTTTTCTGACTCTTCCTGCTTGTTCTGTGCTGATGATGTTGCTGTTCTTTCATGGACAGAAAGCAGAGTTTTGAGACTTTCTGGACTCCATCTGGACTTTAAATATGAGAGAAATTCTGGAAAGGGGGAAAAAATAAAGGAGTTAAAGGCAAGCAGAAAGAGTTCACTGCCGTGTAAAAACAAAGGGAACCTTAGACTTCGTGTCTGGGGGCAGGGAGAGTGAGTGCATCCTCTTATGCTAGGACATCATGAGGCTTTGAGAGAAGAGGCTCTTGAATATTTTGTCCACATTTGATTGTGACAGTGACATTTTGCTGTTGAGAGTCTTTAGCTAGACTTTATTTATTATCTATTTAGATTTTGTTTGTGGGGTACTTTGTGTGTGTATGTACACATGCGTGTGTGTATTCTTCATATACACAAGGGTGCAGCTGTATTTGTCCTCCTCCATCTCTACCATTTTGTCTTGAGACAGGGTTTCTCACTAAACTGGAAGCTCCATTTTGGGTAGGATGACTGGCCAGAGAGACTCAGGTCTCCCTGCCTCTGCTTCCAAATGCTAAGGTTCCAAAGTGATGTGTCTGCACCCATCTCTGCTCCCAAACTCTAGGGTTCCAAGGCAATGCGTCTGCATCCGTCTCTGCCCCCTAGTGCTGGGATTCCAAGATGATGTGTCTGACTTTTTACAAGGGTTATGGGGATTTGCACTCAGGTTCTTTGGCTTGCAGAATAGGCATTCTTACCCACCGAGTCATCTCCCAGCCCCCAGACTTTATCGTCTAGAAACTCTATTTGTTTATAAGTCTGACTCAGTTTACCATTTTATTCTCAGAGCTCACAGTCCATGTAGGCGATTCAACTGAGATGGGATGTTTTTTCCAGAGCACAAAAATGAAGCATGTGACCAAGGTGGAATGGATGTTCTCTTCCGGAAAGCATGCCACGGTAAGGGAGAGGAAGCCTCATTGTAGAGAGCCCTGGCTGGAGGCAGGGGAGGCAGGGAGAGGAGAATCAGGTATCAGGTACCATGAGGTGAGTGACATTGCAAAGGGCCGGGCATGGTAGTCTTTCAGATCTGACCTCCTGCTTTAGCTAGGCACTTGTCTGGACAAGTTTGGCTTCTTGGTGGGAAATAGGATTTTATTGAAGAAAGGGAGAAGGAATGAGGGAGGAGAAGATGGAAGAGGAGGGGGCAGGAGGAGGAAAAGAGTGTGGAGGGAAGGAGAAGGGAGGTGAGAAAGAAGAGGAAGGTGAAGAGAGGAGGAGGAGGAAGTGTGGGAGGGAAAGGGGAAGGAGGAGGGGAAGGAAGAGGTGATTGCCTAAATGTTCAGGTTTCTTAGACACTGCTGTGCAATGGGACAGGGGAAGCACTTTGTACATGGTATGGCTGCTGCATTTGAGACTCTTCTCTTCACCTCCTCTTCTGTGTACAACCCTTGTCAGAGCAAAGCGAGGTGCTTTTCTTGGCCTAACCCAGAAAGCAATGGGCTAGGCATAAGAAAACAACTACATTCTTGTCCTACTGTGTGCTATTTCTGTAAGCTTTGCCTGCTGCTCCATCACTCACTTTGTGTGATGGAGAGGGTTTTTTTTTTTTTTTTCATCTTTATAAACTTTCCAGGGCTTCGTAATGGTAGACCCTTGGGAGCCAGAGTGAAGGATAATTCATAGGAACTGTAAAGCATAAATAGCAAGTTAGTCACTGAACTAACAGATCTCAGCGATGACATGGTGGTGTATTTAGGTATCAAAATGTGTAATGAGGGCTAGCAAGATGGCCCTCACTTGCTACCCAGCTGTATGCCCTGAGTTCAGTCCCTGGGTACCCTAGGATAGAAGGAAGGAACAGAATTTTTCAGGCTGTTCTCTGACTTTTTACATTCACACCATGCTGCTACCCCTCAATAGATAAATGTAATAAAACATGTTATTAGTGATATCTTAGTTGATTTATTGGTAGACATTAAAGTGCAAAGTTTTATAGATGATTTCAGTTTTGTAAATTAAAGTGTGTTCCAGGTAATCTCACTAGCGAAGTCATTCATAGTTACCTTATTCTTGGATGCTATTTGAGGGCATCAAAAAAGGGCAGTGGTGGTGCACGCCTTTAATCCCAGCACTCGGGAGGCAGAGGCAGGCAGATCTCTGTGAGTTCGAGGCTAGCCAACTACAAGAGCTAGTTCCAGGACAGGCTCCAAAGCTACAGAGAAACCCTGCCTCAAACAAATACAAACAAACAAACAAATGAAAGGGTGGTATCGTGGTAGATGGTGGGGGATGATATGAAGCCCTAGGTTCACTCCTAAGGGCTTGTCATGCTTTTAAGTTTTTATTTATTTATTTGCTTTATTTTCTGTGCATGAGTGCTCTCCTTTCACGTGTGCATATGTACCACTGCATGCCTGGTGTCCATGGAGCGAGGGAAGAAGGTGTCTGACTCCCTGAAACTGGAGAATAGATGGTTGTGAGTCATTGTGTGGGTGCTGGAACCTGAACCTGGGTTCTCTGTCCTGAGATGACTGGACCAGCAGATAGTTCTTATTGTCAGGCTCCTAAGTGGGAGATGGCCTCGAGAGGAAGGTAAAGGAAGATAGGAAAGTTTGGCGTTAGATGCCTAGCACAAGCTCATGGTTCTCACAGCATGGTTCTCACAGTTTACTAAGAAGTGCAGCACCTTATACCGTATTTTTAGAAGAGAACCAGGACAGAGTCATCAGAAACTGTAATGCAATGGGCTGAAGTCAGCAGGAAGCTAATCGGGCAGTGTTGCTCAAGGGGACATTATAGACCGAGCACACATCAGCCCTGGGGCGATAGGGGCATTATAGACCGAGCACACTTCAGTCCTGGGGCTGGTAACCATAGCCTTTTAGAGTGGGAGGAGTTGGGTTCTCAGGATCTGAAGCCACAGCATCCTCAAGGCCCTGGCCCCAGGCCATTCTGGGCTCTGCCAAGCTTGTTCCTGGCTGTAGAGAAGGAGCTCTGTTCCTCCTCTGCACATCAGGGAAAGCCTTAGATCAGCCCAGCCCTCAGCACTGAATTCATCTCTCCAGCCCCCATTGTCATGCATTTCTATGTCATCCAGCATATGATTCACAGCAGAAAGAGGAGCTGGGGGCCAAGTCTCTCTGTTTGTGATTCTGTCTATAACTCATTACCTTCTCTTTCTTTTAGGAAAATAATATCTAGGGCTAGAGAGAACACTTACGTTGGTAGAAAGAACACATGCCTTGTATGCATAAGGCCTTGGTTTCAGTCTTTGCCATGATTGCCCATCACCAAATATCCACACACCTCTGTAAAACATCTCAACATTCATTAATTTAAAGACCTTTCCCTGGCCTGGCGGTGGAGGCATGCGCCTTTAACCCCAGCACTCGGGAGGCAGAGGCAGGCGGATCTCTGTGAGTTCAAGGCCATCCTGGTCTACAGAATGAGTTCCAGGACAGACAGGGCTACACAGAGAAACCCTGTCTTGGAAAAAAACAAAACCAAAACAAAGCCCCTATCCTGATGGAACAGTAACAGTAAAGACGGAGGGGACTCACAGTGAGACAATGGTGAGAAGACTATCTAAAACAAGAAAGAGCCGAAGAACCAGCAGGCAGAGTCTGTGGTTGTTATTCTATGTAGACAGCCAGGGAAGCCACATCAAGGTGGCATTTAGGTAGTGGTCTGAAGAAAGTGAGGTGAGAAGCAGAGGGTTCCAGTTACAGGACTAGCAAGAGCAGTAGCTCTGAGACCAGTATCCAGGAAGTAGCTGGGTGTCTGTGTGACCAGATCTAGTGAAGATGAGCTGAAAATAGATGTGACAGAGGGAAAAGAGATGGGGGCAGATCATATAGGGCCTGTAGGAGAAATGAGGGGCCGGGGGAGGTTTAGAGCAGAGGAAAGACATGCTGAATCTCATCCGCTGAGGGTAGACTGTAGGGAAGTCTGAGTAGGGAGACAGACAGGCAAGAAAGCCCTTGCGGAAGAGATGCCCCTCATAGTGATGAGGTATGCTTGGGCCTGGTGTGACGGCAGCAGGGGAGCTGAGAGGGCTGGTCTGGGATGTGATTTGAGGGCAGAGGGTACAGGACTTTCTAACAAGTTTGATATCTCCATCTCTTTGTATCTCTCTGTCTCTGCTTCTCTGTATCCATCTCTGTGTGTGTCTCTCTGTCTCCATCACACACACTCTCTCTCTCTCTTCTGGAAAAGAGATGAGTGAAATAATTTTACTTTATATTCTTATTCTCTGTCTCTCTCTGTCTCTCTGTCTCTGTCTCTCTCTCTCTGTCTCCCTCTCTCTCTGTCTCTCTCTGTGTCTTTGTCTCTCTCTGTATCTCTGTCTCTATGTGTGACTCTGTCTCTGTCTCCGTCTATCTCTGTTTCTCTGTCTCCGTCTTTCTCAGCTTTATCTCTGATGCTGGGGGTTGAACTCAGGATTTCACATATACTAGGCGAGCACTTTGCTGCAGGATTATAACCTTTTCCATCTTTTTACTCTCTATTTGGAGACAGAGTCTGGCTAAACTACCCACTTGAACCTGTTATCCTCTGGCCTCAGCCTCCTAAGTAGCTAGGGTTACAGGCCAGAGTCACCAACCCCTTCTAAACCATTTCTTCCGATGGAAAAGTTGTGGTTTGGTGTTGCTCTCACCAGAGCACATGTGTTTGCACACGTGCATGTGAACAAGACTTTGTGTTATCTAACACTCACTCTTCCTGCCCTCACATGGCAGGGCCTTGTCAGCTCTGAGGTCTCCCCCACCACACACCCTACAGTCTTCCAACCTCATGCTTTTGACCTTTCCTTTAGGAGGAAGTTGTCTTGCGCTATGACTTCAACATGCCTCGTGGGCACTCCCAGAGCCAAGGCCGCTTCCAAAACCGTGTAAACCTGATGGGCAACATCTCCAACAACGATGGCTCTATCATGTTTCAAACAGTGAAGCTGTCTGACCAAGGGGCCTACACCTGTCGCATCTACCTGGGGAATCTGGAGTCCAGGAAAACCATTGTGTTGCGTGTGATCCAGGAAGAACCTCGAAGTATCCAACATTTGGGTAGGGGTGATGCGTGACAGCAAGGTCATGTCTGGAGTGAGTCAGGGAGGCCCTGGGCATGCCCAGTGAAAGGAGGCGTTGCCCCCAGGGGCTGGCCTTGGACTTGTACAGCCCCAAAGGTGATGCCTCCACCAACCCGGCTCACCAGATGCCTGGGTTCACCTTGCCCTAGTTCTTCCGGGTATTAGGCATGAAAAAGGGCACTAACATGGTGAACACCAAATCTCTGCCAAACCTCACTTGTGGCCGGTGTGGTCTACTGCTGTAAAGGCATGGGAGCTCAGAGGTGGAGCAGTGGAGTGGGGATCCCGAGTCGTGTTTGCTTGACTCTGAGGGAATCGCACATACTCGTGAAGGGAGAGGGTCCTAAGCTGTAAGAGACAGCAAGCAACGGAGAGGAAACAGGAAGGTTCCAGAATGAGAAATGGAGGGGTTTCTGATGAAAGGCAAGCAGTGTGCCCTGACGAGAATAAAGGTTTAATCATGAGGCAGTTGTGGGAGGTGAAGGTTAAATCATAACTCAGTTAGCAGCCAGGATGTGGCCTGTGGACTTTGCCTCTCACTTGGGCCTGAAGCAGCTGGCTGTGGTTGGCTAAGAGTAGGGGGAGATGACTAGAAAGGGAAGTACCGCAGTGTCTCAGGCCAGAGGCTCTTCAAGAAGTTTCTTCACCCCTGTGTGTGCTCCATTCTCATGAACCTTCCTTCCATTCCACAGAAAAAAACACACCAACGTGGGGAGTGGGGGCTCGCCTCCTTCTGAGACCACGCCACCCACAGACATGTCTGTACCTGCCCCCATTCTTATCTCACACACCATCCTGAGGCAAACGGGCTCCTTCCTGCCCTGGGTGCAGCTCGTCCTGTGCATCACCCGCCTCTCTGCTGGGGAGTCTCTAGGCGTGGATCTTTGAGCATGTGCTTTCTGCCGTTCTCCCCACTCATGTCCAACTCCATTCCTTCTCCTGCCGGTGCCCCACTTCAGCTCTCAACCAAAGATTCTGTTTCTCTGCAGGCTCATGTTACCAGGTCTGAACTTCTGTCACCAGTGGCATGCGAGTCCCCCACCCCCAGCCTTCCCCAGCACAGTGATAGTAGATGCTGCCTTTCTACATTCTAGACATTCTAGATTGGACACAATTAGATTGGCACAAATGTTTGTAAACAGCCATATGTATCCCTTGATAGCTGAGGAAATTTTGTTCCAGGACTTTCTCCTCCCTTGAAAACACCAAAATCTGTGGGTGCTTAAACTCCTTCTATAAAAATGCCATATTGAAAAACAGTATTTGTTTATTAAAAACACATAGCCTCCTGTATATGCAAAATCACCTCTAGATTACTGATACTACCTAATATAAGTAATTGCTGCCCCATATTGCTTAGGGAGTGGCAAGAGAAAAGGTCTTCACATGTTCAACACAGATAATAGTTCTTCAGTTGGTTGACTCCAAGCATGCGGACACATGGAGATGAGGGCTGGTTTTGTGTGTGTTTGGGGAAACAGGGGTTATTATATGCATGTATATATTTCAACTCCACACCAGATTTCTACAGATCCTTCATATATACATGGCTCTCCCTCATCCCATCTTCCCGACATTGGTGAATGCCACCACCCTGGATACGGTTATGTAACTGACACCAGGGAGTGGCTTTGGTCCTTCCCTTTCCTAATCTAGCAGATGAGTAAGTCATGTCATTTCTATGACTGATTTTGAGGCAGTCTTCTTTCCTGGCCTTCACCAGCCTTAGTTCTGGCTGCCTTCTCCTCTGTTTGAGGCCTTCGGTCTCTAGCCAGTCTCTGCTCTCGTCCTTAGCTAGGGCCTTTTTCTAAATCATGGGTTAGCACATTCCATCCCACCACGTATAGATACACCTAGCATTGACTTCTCTGGGACCTGTAGCAAAAGAGCCAGCCACTTTGCTGAGGCGATAAAGCTCCTTCCTGACTGGGTCGCCATTGTTTCCCCAGCCTCAATTCCTAACATACCCTCGACTTGAGCCTTTGATTGCACTTGTGGAGCTGTTGGGCCCCAAGGCTCTGTGCAGACCTCTTCTTGGCCTCCCTCCATATTATCAGCACCCCAACAAACTGAACGCTTCTTTTCAAACTCACATTAAAGTTTAACACTTGCTGGCCAAGGTCTCTTCCCATGCTTTTCACAGAATTGAGCACCCCCTTCTCCGTGCCCTTCTGTTCCCCCTACCCACAGACACCTATCTGTTTTCGTGTGTGTCTCCCTCCTTGGAGGCAGGAACTGGCCATCAGTTGTCTTTGTCAGCATCCTCAATGTCTAGAGATCTCTGATGCCAAAGAAATGCTGATATATGTCTTCAGAGCTAAATGAAGGGTATTTATACCAGTGGAAACGCTCTGGAGGCCCCAGTTAGCATTGTGACTATACGTCTGGGTATTATAGCATAGAGTCTATCTGAAACAATCATTTGCCCATGAAAATGTCAGTGGCTTTGAAAATGCCTGTTATTTCTAGTCATCTGGTAAACCAAGTTTTAACAGAGAATTACTGATGTTAAAAGGATGATCTAGCACAGGTGAAGGCAGCTGCTTCTCCTGCCTAGTTTAACCCACACTTTAGGGCTAAACAAGGGGGTTGGACTGGCTCTTAGTCTAATAGGGATGATGTCCCTGTATCCTGATATGGGATGCAGTCTGGCCTTCTCTTTCTGCTTCCTGACCTGGGTGTGCTATTTGGCATATTGGGGCTCTCTGCTCTTCTAGAATACTGAGACCCTCTCGATACTTTCTTCATTCCCAAGGGTCGATTTCAACAACTCCTCGACCTAAGACCCATCAGCCGGTGACCCTGAATGGGAATCAGCTGGTGATAATTGTGGGGATCGTCTGCGCCACGCTCTTGCTGCTCCCTGTTTTGATACTCATTGTGAAGAAAACCCAGTGGAATAAGAGGTATATGACCATCCCCACCCCTTCAGTCGGGAGGTCAAGTGTGTAGTCTGCCTCTAAGTGAAAGGGGAAGAATAGCCATACCGTTCTAATTTGAGCCTGATCTTGTCTAATCCAAAGTGGAAGAGAGTGCCAGTGCCCTGTGATGTTACCCTGATTGTTATATTTGATGTCATTGTAGGTGGCCCTGCCCCCTTTGCTCAACACACTTCAGAAAGGCTTGGGCATCACTATACCATGCTCATTCTCCTTACTGTTATATAAAGAGTACCAACTCTCTCACAAATGGGGCTTTGAGTGGAACACAATTCAGATACAGACCTCATGCAAGAGCTGTAATCGTACTTATGGACTTGCTTAAGAGAAGTTATGAACTGGGGAGGAGAGGGAGACAGGAAGTCCCTATGTAGCCCAGGCTGGCTTTGAACTCATGGTCCTCTTCTCTGACTCAGCCTCTCACTTGCAGGCACTGCAGGCTTGTACCACTATGCCTGCCTTGACATGCGTTAAAGGGCTGGATTTCGTCACTAGCTCCCCCAGACTCTTAGAAATGCCCGAATTCCAGGATGCTCGTATTCTCTGACTGCTGGCAGCTTCATGCTACTCTGTTTACAGAAGATTAAAGAAACATGTAGGCAGTTTAAGCTAACACTCCAGCTGAAATCACAGCCATGGAAAGACCCATAAAGACCAAGGAATGTTGGCTCTTTTCTCTCTTACAGTGCTGGGGATTGGACCCAGAATCTTGTATATTCTAGACAAACTTTCTACCACCAAGTCACACACACCACCTCTGGCCTCACAACGCTGTTGTCGGAGTGACTTTTCTCAGGGATGTGTAGATTCTAACGCTAGCAACTGAGCATGCTCAGGTGCACCACCGCTCTCAGAGCTGTCTGATTTGGCATTGAACTTGCTTGGCACCTCTAAGGGTCAAGATGCACCAGGCATGCATTTGAGCGTAAGACTGAGAGCCAGACAAGTTCCACTCCCAGTGTATGTCCATACTGTGGGCCTCAGTGTCATGGAAAATCATTCTAAAGAGCTACCACTATCTGAGATTCCCGCCTCAATACTATCACTGCAACTTTGCTGCTCATAAAAATCTGGCATCATTGTGAGTACGGTATCTTTCAGGAAAGCACTGATGGAATTGCCTTCCATTGAATAGACCATCACACACATGCCAGCGTGTGTGGGATGGTAGCCAAGAAGACTGAAAGGGAAAATGCGCAGTGTGATCTCGATTGTATAGAAAGGGAGTAATACAGCGTTCATGCCAGGAACCTATACACTGGATATGTTTTGTCTGGGAGTCTCCTTAGCCTGTTATTGACAGGGGTTCTGAAGCATTATCAGACATTGACGATAATGATCCTGTCTGCTAATGGAACCACTTGGAAACCTCAACTTCCAGCTGTATAATTTTGTAGTATTTGGTTTATTTAACAGTGAGAATATGTAACTTTACAGTCATATGATAAAAGCATTTTCACTTGAGACAAACATGGTTTATTTTTCAAATAAATATCTGCCTTTTTCAAAAATATCTGCCTTTGATCAAAACAAGAAAAATAAAAAGGTACATTTTGTGAAAAACACACGAGACAGCTGGCCGAGAGATCAAAGTCAAGGGCTTGATCAGGCAAGGGTCGGAGCACACAGCCTGGGGAGTGCTGGGCGGTTTAGCTTGGTCGTCACTGGGGAGGCCACCGACCTGGGAAATGTGGTCTTGCTGGGTGGGTGCTGCTCCCTGGGGCTTCCAGTTCTCAGCACCGAGAGCAAGATAGTGAAGTCAAATGCATGGGCTCTCTCTATTCAGTAATTTAAAATTGTATTACCTTCTTTGTTCACACTTCTCTCCCATTCCCTCCCCTCCACTCTTCTTCTCCCCTCTCTTCTTTATAAAATGAGGTCTCTTGGGCCAGTGAGATGTGCTGAGATCAGCTCCCAGAATCCATATGAAAAGTCAGATACATGGCTTGCATTTGTAATCCCAGCTTTCCCATTGGTGGGATGAGATGTGGAGACAGGAGAGGCACCTGGAAGCTAGCCGGTCAGTTTGCCTGGCACAGGTTGAGGGAGTAGAAACAGCAAGAGAGACTGTCTCCACAAGGTGGGAAGAGAGAACAGAACATCGAAAGTTGTCCTCTGACCTCCATAACACATGCTGTAACTTAACTTGAGTGTGCTCACACTCACTGACACACCAACACTAGTGATGATGCTGATACTCATAATAGTAATCATGAATTTAAAATGGGGTCTTCACATGCAGCCCAGGCTGGACTTGAACTCCTGGTTCCATGCTTCAGGAGTAGCTGGGGCTTCAAGATGCCACTGTGCCCAACTATCCTCTACCTCCCACTCTGGGATGGAGGTGAGAATGAAAACAGAGGTGATGTCACGTTTCAGCCTCAGCTATGCCCAGAGCAGCTTCCCACTTCCTACCAGAAGAGAAGAGAAGAGATGTGTGTATTTAGTTCCTCCCAAGGGGCTCTCCATAAAGTGATGTAAAGGCCCTTTGTGACGACGTGGTGTCCCACTGGATGCAAAAGATCCATCTAGTGTAGGGCCTTTCTAGGTATACTTAAATCAGTGTACCTCATGAGGTGCAGAGTGTTAATTCTATGTACTTTTCATCTCTTACAGTTCAGTGAGTTCTGTGGCCTCCTTGAAGAGCCTCGAGAGCAAAGAGAAGACGAACCCAGAGGTGAGAGGATAATTTGCTCTGAGAGGGACACAAATGGACGCACACTCCAGCAAGAAACACTGGGAAGTGGAGTGTGGAGGCCATCCATCACTGGGGAATGGTGTCTTACTCATTAGTCTCAGCTCCCAGCTCACAGACCACATCTCTGTGCACAGTAGTGGCTTAGGAAGCCTTTATCACTGCTGTGGAGGAACGGGCTGAGGCAGTAGCCTGGGCCAGATCAACCCTGGGCAGCAGAAAAGACCCTGAACCTGGAATCAGAAAGCTCTGCTACCTTCATGAGCTAAGGAGTTAATGATTAAGAGGAAGTGTGTTTAAGAACCTTTAGAGGGGATCAAGAATGGCTTCCCCCTCCATAGTGCTTTGAAGTGGAATTATAAATAGGAACTGAGAGAATAATTTTCCTGAGCTCCTATATTCTCACCCTCCCTTCCCCGCTTTCTCTTCTAATCCCTTCCACCTTTTACCTTTTAGACACACCTCTATGATCAGCTTTCTGAGTTTTGGGTTGCTTTTCTTCCGAGAGTGGGATTTTTGTTCAACCCGTTCCAGTCCTTGAAAGCCTGAGAATGAATCACTTTCCTACGGGTGACACGGTGGTGCATCCCGATCCTCAGACCTCAGAACTGCCAGATGATAACAGTAGCTGATAGGGACTGCCGTCTTGCCCCGACTAATCAGAAGGGTTATTCTGCAGGATGGGGTCCCCCCCCCCTGCCAAGTCAGTGCTTAGAGATGCAAAGGTGTTTGGTTTTGAGACTGGCGTCCTTCCCTGTGAGTTAATTCAGGAAGACTGAAGTCGGGATTACCATCATTGATAACAATTCTTTGGCTCTCCGCGACCCCCTGGATTTGGTGGCTTTGGTAGCTGTCACCCTGTGAACAGGAGTAGGTGGGTCCCTTTCCCGGATGACCCTTAAGAATTTTGTTTTCCCACCCACCCCAGAAACATGTCTACTCCTCAATAAGCACGTGGGAGACGATGGAGGAAGGACCACGTGGACAATCAGAGGCCACCTACATGACCATGGTGAGGACTATTGGGGGCCCTGCCTGGATCAGGTTTCTGGAGAGGGGGCAGGTGTCGGGAAGGGGAGCTCAGGCTCTGGGAGTCAGGAATGGGTAGGCCACCTGAAGAGGTTGTTTGCAGAGGGCAGATTTGGATTTTTCTGTTTTGTTTTGTTTTGGTTTGGTTTTGTTTTTCCCAAGCACTAGGAAGCAGGGAGGATAAACTTTGTTTAGGATTAAAGTCACTGATAGAGAGAACAAGCAGAGAAAGTAGGGGAAGACCTTCCCTCATTAGCCCAGTGCTGGTTAAATAGATGTAATAAAGCATGTTAGATCATCAGATAAGGCCTACAGGAGAGGGAAAGGTGAAAGCAGAGGCTAGGGCTGCAGTCCGGTGTGTGGAGTCACGCACGAAGCCCTGGGCTTGAGTCCCAGCACCATCTCAGTTGGCTGTGGTAGTACGTGCCTATAATCCCAGCACTGAAGGGGTAGATATAGGGAGATAAGAAGTTCGGGGTCACTGGATAGTGGTGGCTCATGCCTTTAATCTCAGCACTCAGGAGGCAGAAGCAGGCAGGTCTCTGAGTTCTAGGCCAGTCTGGTCTACAGAAGTGAGTTCCAGGACAGCCAGGGCTACTCAAAGAAACCCTAGCTTGAAAAAAAATGTTCAGAATTATTCTTAGCTGCACACTCAGTTTAAGACCAAGCTGGCTGATGTGAGAACCCTGTCTGCAGACAAGTTGTGGGGCTGGGGAAATGGCTTGGTAAAGTGCTTGCTACACAAGCATGAGGGGCTGAGCTTGAGTCTCCAGAACCCATAAAAAGCTATTAATGGGCTAGATAGATGACTCAGAGGTTAAGAACACTGACTGCTCTCCTAGAGGTCCTGAGTTCAATTCTCAGCAAACCACATGGTGGCTTACTACTGTCTATAATGGGATCGGGTGCCCTCTTTTGGTACGTAGACATACATGCAGGCAGAACACTGTATACATAATAAATAAATAAATAAATCTGGGGGGAAAAATAAAAGCTGTTAGGCTGCCCATCTGTAATCCCAGTCCATATGACAAGATGTAATGTGAAAGTACAGCCTGGTGTAGGTGACAGCAAGCAAAAAGGAGACCCTGTCTCAAATGAGGAGGAAGGCTTCTGATCCCCAGGTGCACACCACGGTATGCATGTACCTGCACTCACGTACACAAATGCACAAACACATACATACATATGTGCCCACACATCATAAACATACAGAATTTTTAAAAAAGTAAAAGTAGGGTCCCTCTTAGCCATTGGCTTTGTTCATTCTGAACCTGGTTATTACCTTCTCGCAATCTAACTGACATGCAGGCTGTAGGCTGCATTTCAGCAGCTAAGATGGAGTCCCAGTGAGGCAACTCAGGGAGAACAGCATCCCGAAAGGGTTCCTTGCTATGCATTGTGTAGGGATAGGAACAAAGGAGTTGGCTGACAGTGACACCATGTTATTTTGTTGACTGATTAATGGCCCCCAGCCTGGGATGGAGCTGTATGCTGTTGAGCTGGGGAAGGCAGCCTCCAGAGCATGTGGAATGATGGGCTGTTTGCTCCTGTCACACTGGACAGGAGGCACATGACTCCCAGCTGCTGGCATAGAGAAAGTTCTGCCTAGGCAATGTGAGGATCAGAGATCTGGCCCTATTCCACCAAGGAAAACATTAGCCCTTCTGAAGCTGTGGATGAATGGAGTCATTTTCCTCTACATCCTTCTCCTGTGGTTGCCATGTGATGCTCCAGCAACAGGCCAGGCCTCATCCCGGCTTTTAGAGACCTGCTGCTGGCGGGAGTGTCCCCTACGAACACAGTGGAGAGGCTTGGAGTGCTGACATATTGGAGCATGGATTTTGATATCTGTAGGATTTCTGGACCCAGTCTGCCACCGACAACACTATTTTCAGGTTCTGCACGTGCTGGTTCAGATCTCAGACTTGGGTGTTAGATAGCTGGGTCCAAACGTTGCTTCCATAACTTCGCAGACGATACTTAGAGGCAGATAAACAGCCTCTATGAGCTTGTTTTCTTGTCTTAGAGTTCAGGGTCTTTCTCTGCTATAGAGTAAGTTTGAAGCCAGCCTGAGTCACATGAGACCCTGTTTAAAAAAAGGAGAGAAGTAATATTTGCCTCACTGGGGGTGAGGACCATTGAGGCAATGCTTATAGGATTTAGCATCAAGCCTATGAGGAAAGTTTCAGTGAGTGACTTCCTATTTTTCCATTGATGGGGCTTGAACCCGGACTTTGCACACACTGACCAAACACTTCCCTGCGGAGTCACGCCCTCAACCCCTAACTACTTACAGATGTGTTTGCTTCTTCTCTTCCCTAACAGCACCCAGTTTGGCCCTCTCCCTCCAAAGCACCCAATATGACCTTCTCTTCAGTCAGATCCACATAATTCAATTGGGGGAAAAAAAGTCAGCTTGGGAAATTCCCTGAACCGCAAACTTTCTGAGAAGAAGAGAAAGGGCACATCGTCTCGGCAGCGGCAAAGACTCTGCTTTTGGTGGTCCCCGGGCCACTGTGCCAGCTCTTTTCCACTTCTGCTGTCCAGCCGGTCTCGGCCTCCATGAGAGGCCTGAAGATGGAGGAGTCTGGCAGGAAGACCGAACTGCTCCAGATAAACAGGCACTGACGAGGGGAGGGGGACCGTGGGCTTCTCCCGGAAGCTGTGGGCTGGCTGCTAGGGCTGGGGAGCTGGCTGGTCTGCCCGCGGTCTCAAGCACTCCCTTGGACCAGATCTTTGATTGCAAAATGTTTTTTGTGAATGAGCTACTAAGAGACTCCCAGAGATACAAGCCAACAAAAACAATTCTTTTGATGAATTATCCCCAAATAAATGTGGTTTGTGGGAACCACCCTTCTTTTATGTCCTGAATAAAGGTTAAGAGCGGGAATTTGAAGTGTGAATTTGTTAGCTAGTTTTCATTATGCCAGAAGGTGCTGAGTAGACCATGGAGGGAGGAGACATCAATGGTCCTACCCAGGGCTTGGCCATGCACTGAGATATGTTGAACCCATGGGTACAGTAGTTACATGATTGCTATGGGGGTAACCAACCACTTTCTGATTAGATTGCTCCACAGGAGGGAATTCATGCCTGGTACTGTAAACCTTGCCAAAAGTCCATAGCTTGGGGAGGTCCTAGGTTCTGGGGGAAGACCTATTACTATTTTTTTGGTAAATGTTTGTGTTGTGAAACTGCCTTCTGTATATGTATATTTATACTAATAGATGAGTGTTGCTGTCGGCCTTGGACAGAGAACCTCCTTCTAGGAGTGGGCAACAGCTAATGCAGAGATTCAAATAAGTGATTGCTGAGTGCTGATCTCTAAATGGAACATCTGTCCCAAGGCCACCAGGGCTCAGAGAACACTACCAAGAGGGGCAGAAAGGCAGAAGAGCTGAAGGATGGGAAAGAGTGTTGTAAGGTGTCCTCTGGACCTGACAGCAGCCGTGGTTCCCTGCAGATCTAGTCAGTCAGCATCCCAGCACCATGGGGGAAAGCTCACCAAGTCCCACCCTGGTCTGAGGAGCTAGCGGGAGTTGATGGCTGTTTAGGAGAGTCAGTTTTCTGTCTCCACGGGATGACTGCACTGTATATGTGCGTATGAACAGCAGTAGCTGGACTCAGTGAGCTATTAAAAATTAAAAAGAAAAGAATCAGGCTGGAGAGATAGTTTGGTGATTAAGAGCATTTGATGTTCTTCCAAAAGATCTGGGTTCAATCCCCAGCACCCATGTGGTGGCTCACACCATCTGTGACTCCAGTTCCAGGGGTCCTTCTGGCCTCTGTGAGCATCAGGCAGGCATATGATGCACAGACATACATGGAAATAAAGCGCCCATATACATAAAATAAAAATAACAGACATGAAGGGTTTGACTCTGTAGCTCAGGGTAACCTGAAACTCATGGGTAGTCCTTCTGCTTCAGCCCCTGGAGGGCTGGGATAAGTCCACTCTACTAGCCTGAATCTCTGGTTTCTCATTCTTTCTCAAGTAGAGCTACATTTTTAAATGATTCCCCAGACTCTCCAAATACCACATGCTTGCTATAAGTTTATTCTGTTTTACCATCTACCCTGGTTAACCATGGAGAAGAATCACCAAATGTCTTTCCTTGTTCCTCAGGGGCCACAGATAGCATCTGCTAATGGCACAAGGATTATGGCAACATCTGTCGAAGGCAGCATCTTATCTGGGACATAGTAGCATTTGGGACCTTTGGTAGCTGAAGTAGTCAAAAGAAAGGGGTTTTGTTTGTGGCTTATTAAGTTAAACTCTTTTTCGGGCTAAGGAGTGTCTTTTTACTTCCTTAAACAGTGTGTGTAGTGGGGAACGGCCTTCAGGACACAGAATCAGATGGGTGGATGGTGATTTTACATTTATTGTTCCGGGTCTGAGACTAACTGAAGAGGAAGCTTGAGAATGGGTGGTCCACTTAATCCTTGGAGAGCACGCTGCAGAAGCATAGATACATCCATCTTTGAACTTGACCCCTTCCATTTGGCTTCCATTCTGGGCTCAGCAGCTAGAGCCGAGGAAGAAGGGCAAGCCCACATCTCTATCCCAGCCCTAGCTCCACACAAACCTTTCTTTATATACAGACACAGAATTTCAAAACTGAGGTAGATCCACAGCTCGCAAATACTAGCATTGCCTAAAACCAAACCAGGCACTTCAGGAGACCTCAGAAAATCTGACTGTTTGCTCCCCCATAGCCTTCTTCTACAGAGGGTTGATTGTTAATCCAGCAACATGTAGGTAGACAGTGTAGGGAGATGAATTGGGGTTAAGTGGCTGTGTTTGAGCCCTTGCCCTGTCTCTTCCCTTTTCATACCAAAACATTTATGGGAATGCTTTGGGGCAATTTTCCCACGTAAATCCTCTTAGCTTAGAAAGGAGTGCGGTCATCATGAAGTACTAACATCCTGAGTTTAAACTTCATCTAACACAGCTAACCTGTACAACATTGCAACATCCCAACACCACACTGTACAGGTTTGGGCGTCCCTAGTTGCTGCGATCATGTGGTTGCCTGGGAGTGGTGACGTGTCATTGCTGAGACTGAGCGAGAAGATAGTATCACCTGTCACCGGCCTGCTGATAACACATTTCAGACCTCACAGGACAGCTTCTAGTGAATGCATGCGGCTTCCACATTAGACCAAACAGGAAAAAAATCATATGCCAAACCATGGAAAGTCAAAACTTTCTTACATAAAAGTGGAGACTCACGGGGTTGAATTTGTGTTGTGTCTATAGGTCAGAGGACCGTTTGTAGCAGTGGGTTTTTGACGACTGTGCGGGTCCTCTTGGTGTCCTCCTTAGCCTCCTGTCGCTGTGGTAAGCACCATGGCCAAATGCAGCTGAGGAAGGAAAGGGGCTATTTGGCCTGGATTTCCACCTTGCAGTCGGTCATTGGGAAACCAATGCAGGAACCTGGAAGCAGGAACTGAAACAGAGGCCATGGAGGAGAGCTGCTCGCTGGTTTGCTCTGCTTGCTTTTGTGTGCAACTCAGGATGGCCTGACCAGGGGCAGCGCTACCCACAGTGGGCTGGACTTTCCCATATCAATCATTAATCAAAAAAAAAAATGTCCTACAGACATGCCTGCAGGCCAGTCTAATGGAAGTGGCTCCTCAGCTGAGGTGTTTGTTCTCTACTCCTGTAACGCCAGTGGGTCTGGCTGATAAAATGTGACTAGGAGACTCGGGCTGTCAGGCTGAGTGACAAGTGCCTTTACCAGGGAGGGAGTCATGGCTCCAGCCCAGGAATTTCCCCACAGTGACCAAATGAAGTGCTTAGGCAATTGTGCCTGGGCTGAGCCGGCTAGCCAGGTCAAGTTTGTTTATCCAATTCGATTCCTCTCTCCACTTTCTGCCATTCAGTCACTGGTTCTTTTGTTTTTTGTGTGAAGATTGTTTTTATGTTTTGCCTGTGGAGCACATATGTGTTGTACTTAGGGAGGCCAGAAGAGGGCACTGGATCCCCTGGAACTAGAGTAACTGACAGTTGCGAGTGGCCATGTGGGTGCTGGGAATTGAACTCATGTCCCTAGGAAGAGCAGCCAGCGCTTTTATCTTCTAAGCCATCTCTCCAGGGCCCTAACATTCAGTCTGAATAGCAAAATTGAGTGGCGTAGATGACAGTGCTTTCTGGTCCCAATCTCTTGTTAATTTTTATTTCTGTGAGCACAAAGCCATTTAACCAGACTCCTCAATTCTTCTTCCCATCCAAAGAAAGAGCATGTAAGGGAGCCAAGGGCAGGCAGGCAAGGGCTTTGGGGAACCAAGAAGAGCCCATCCTGGAGGGCTTGAGGCTGCTGGAGACCAACTGAGCCAGGCCTCCTTATCCTTCAACCAACAGTTTTTCTACTTGAATTTTCAGTAATTTTGGTCTCTAGAACACCAGGTGCGACCGTGCTCGAAGGCTTCCAGAAGCATCCAGGCCCTTGCCAAGAGAAAGCAGTCCCAAGGGTTGAGGCGGTGGGAACTCTAGTGATTCTAGAAGCCACTCTTGGAATTGGAGGCAATTGCTGGGCCTCCTTTAAAGGTTCCAGCCGTCACTGGGTAGTGGTGGCACACAACTTAAACCCCAGCATTTGGGAGCCAGAGGCAGGTAGATCTCTGAGTTTGAGGCCAGCCTGGTCTACAGAGTGAGTTCCAGGACAGCCAAGAAAAACAGACAAACAAGCAAAAAGGCTCAGCACCCCTTTCTTTTGTTCTTCCTTGGCTACCCTGACCTTGCCTAGGCTAGTATGAATATGTGTTTGTATGTGCAATTATCTTTCCCAAAATGCTAGGTGCGTGCATGCGTGCATGAGTGCGTGCATTTGTGTGTGTGTGTGCATTTGGGGCCTTATGCTGTTGCTGACACCCTAGTTTCTTAGAACCAAAGAGAGTTTAAGCACACTGTATTCTAACCCAGCCCGGTAGTCTTCCTGAGCATAGAGGATGTTTCTCAGGACTGCTGACCTGGCCAGTTGATTTGCAGATGTGGTCAGAGTTTCTTCAGGGGAGGTCAGGCCATCTGTGACTACTTCTGTAAAACCAGAGTCACAGAACCTTTCTTCTTTGAGAAAAAAAAAAATGTGAAGGGAAATAGTATTTTCCCACAAAGTCAATATCTCATGATGTCAAGAATAACGGTGATGTACCTGTTCCAGAATAGAAACAGAAGACCCCTGCTGCCTGTGTGTGGTCTTCTGTGTTCTGCCTCTATCCTGTGTTCCTGCCTGTGCTGCACCTCTTTTTAAAACCCGACAAGCAGACAAGCCCCTCCTGCTGCATTCATCTTTGCTACTTAGGCTTCTGAGCCTGGCTCCCTTTTCAGCCTTGCCTGGGATGCTTCTTGCCAACCCTACTGCTCAAATCTGCTTTCCTTCCAAGCTCTGCTTGTCTCTCACCTGAGCGATTTAGTTCTCGAATCTTCTAAGATGGTTTTATACTTGATCGAATTCTTTTCTTGTCCTCTCTTTAATGTGAGGCTTTCTCTTCTCTCAGGGATCTGAAGCTCTTAGACAACCTGCTTTAGACCTTTTGCCATGGCCCTTGTGCCTCTAACTCTATGTGGGCCAAGTCCTTGCTGATGAGAATGCCCAGAAAGTGGAGGAAGCTGCACAGGGAACCTGGTTGGATGGTCAGGCTGGTGGAATTTCTATACTTTTCCCAAATATATCCATAGGTATCTACCACTTCTCCTCTGCCCAGGGGTCAGCAGCAGCCCATGGTGCACTCAGAGCCACAACGCACACAACTTAAAGTGCTGCAGTCTAGCCGGGAGGTCATTGTGGGTATACACTGGCCACATTCCTGTTAGCCCGGAGACGGCAACAATATCACGGGCGCTTTTGCTACTGTACCCCCAAGCAGACGAGGCTGCATGCATCATGTTCAACTGTGACTTTGCACCTTATCTCCCTGTCTAGAATGGGTGCTCGCAAAGGCATGTGCACCTCATTTATTTCTAGGTCTCCAGTTTCACAGCCGGCAACCAGCACATGGGGCCAATAAATACATGTAGCGTCCCTCAGAATCCATGCTTTGTTGTCTGTGGTTTCAGTTAGCGATGGCCACTGTGAGCTGAAGATCTGAATTGTTACTTCTGGAATTTTCCATTTAGTAAATTTTAAGCTGAGTTGCATGAGGAAATCTTGTGCCTTCCCGCCCCTTCCCAGGCTGGACAGGCACCCTTTTGCTTTGTTCCGTGTACCCATATCATGTAAGCCATCCCTTCATGACTCACTTGCGAGCTCTGTTGTCGCATTTTCTGTCTGGGTACCGAAGCGGTTTGGCACTATCCACTGCGTCAGGTATCCACTGGGATGGGGTGTGCGTGTGTGTCTTAGGCTGTAGCTTCTGTGGACAATGGGTGATTATAATTCCTGAGCATGACGAATGAGTGAATTTGTCTAGATCACAAGAACACACACAGAATAAAGAGGCAATGAGAACAGGGAGTATATGGTTTTGGAGCAGGAGCGTGCATGTGTGTGTGTGTGTGTTTGAAGATGAATATGCACATGCACTGTGGATTGAGCTCAGGGCATGGAGCACGTAAGCCTATGCTCTGCCACTGAACCTCACCTCCAGCTGTGGAGCAGATTTTGGAGTCTTTGGAATTGCCGAGTATTTGGGAGAGGAAGGGCATTCCTAAACTACCAAGGCAGAGATGTAAGCGTTGTGCAGGGTTAAAAACAACAAAACAACAACAACAACAACAACAACAAAACCCTCGCCTGACGTGGACTGGCTTATGAAGGGATGGGGTGAAGGGGAGATTCAGTAAAATGAATCCCTGCCTTGGACCGCACAAGCTGCCACGTGTTCTGCAGAACAACTGAAGATGGCATTGATCTGAAACTTCTTGTGTATCTTTCTCTTTTGGCTAAATCCCCAAATCTGGTTTCTCATTGCTGCTTGCAGACCCACCAAGATGAAAACTTAACACCCTAAGAATCTCCTGAGGGTCTTGAAGAGCATGCAGTTCTCGACTTCCTAAGTCTGGCACGTGGCCATGGCTCTCCTCTAACTAGTTCCCGAGTGGCACCAGAGAGGCCAGCGGGGGACCATACTCTAAGAAATTAGCCTCTCGTGTGAAAGCCTGTAGCCTGGACTACGCAGTTTAAAGGCAGAGGGAAACTGCCTTCGTTTGGATTGTTTCTAACCCGACTTCTCCCAGCAGGGCAGGTAATTGAATGCTGTCCAGTCAAATCTTCAGTGATAAATGGCACCTGGCAGGAATGCCAAAACCACACGGCTTCACTTCCAAAAAAAGTCCATCTTTGATTACTGGTGTCATCAGTTTGCAAAACACCTCTGAGTTTCTGCTTCCTGGCCTCCCATTGGCTCCTAGGGGAGGCTTGTCCCCCTTGCAACAGATAGCCTGGGGCCCCAGTGTGCTATGGGAGTCTGACTTAGCCCTTATCTCCTGGCCAGTCCCTGATTTGGCTACTATTGGCCCTTGATCCTGGAGGTCTGAGCTGGACCAAAGCTCTTTGGAGTCTGAATACTTGTTGACTTTTAGCCAAATTCTGGGGAGAAGCAGAGGAATTTAGGATTATTTCTTGCCCCAGTTGACTATTAAATAGAAGCTTGCAGACATAGCATGAGGTCAAGTGAGACAGGAAAGCAGTTTCCTTCAGTTTCTGGGCCTCACAAGGCACCATAGGCTGCATTAAGAAAAAAGGAGGAGGCCGGCTACGTCAAACTAAAAATTTCTGGCCAGCGGATCTAGGCTGAAAAGTGTCTGCAGCAGCCTGGTTGGTACTGCAGACTGGGACTTGGCTGGATGGGCCTGAGCAGAGCGGGAGACCTGAGTGGTGCCAGTCTAGCCCTCTGGGCACACACCTGCGAGCTGTGCACCATGGAAGAGACCTAGGACCCTAGGGTGGGCACTGGGGACAGAGGGTCTGTGCACCATCAGGACCTGTCATTCCTCTGCCGTCTCACAGCCCTGCCTTGAAGCAACATTTGGCTTTGGGTCTTGTGACCCTAGGACAGCTTCAGAGACCTGGCTGGACTTCACTCCCTTTTCTCTGGTTCTTCTATAAACGCGTTCATTCCTCCAGTCCCGTCCCTGGGTGGTCAGTCACTTCCTGGTTAGTGAATATCAAGCTTCAGCCAGGTGCTGTGCACCCAGCTCATCTTACTCCGGCATAGCCTACTCCGTGACTGCATCAATTCCAGGAGGGCTCCGTGTCCCCTTGCCCAGTGATAAACCACGTGGAATACTGGGGTGTGTATACTGGGCGGATCAGTGCCTTCCAAAGAGCTGGGTTTGAATCTTGGCCCTGAACCATCATCACATCGACTTGTGATCCCTCGTTGCGTATAGATATTTGCATGTGATTGCTGGGTCAGGACCTGCAGTATGCTTGGCTCTGTTCACTTCTTTGCTTAGGGCCACTTCTACCCCAAGTTCTTCTACTTGTGCAAAGCCTATACTTTTCCCCTCCTCTGAAACAAGTTTCAAACATACAGCGAAGCCAAAAGAATGTACCTCCGACATCACCAAACATGTTTCCCCCTCTGGTGATGCCCAGGCCTGTTCTCTCATCTGTGTTCTTCATGGAATGTTTAAGAGTCTGTTCCAGCCATTGTCTCATTTCACCTGTAACTGTATCTCTTAACAGTTTGAAAGGGGAGAAGGGGTTCAAGACAAGGTTTATCTGTGTAGCCTGGAACTCACTCTATAGACCAGGCTGGCCTCAAACTCAGAGATCCACCTGCCTCTGCCTCCTGAGTGTTGGGATTAAAGACATACACCACCACTGCCCAGCAAAACCACGATACTGCAATTTTTATGATACCTGACAGCATTAGAAGTTATTTGTTGGGCTGGAGAGATGGCCTAGTGGTTAAGAGCACTGGCTGCTCTTCCAGAGGTCCTGAGTTCAATTCTTATGCAACCTCATGGTGGCTCACAAACATCTATAGTGGGATCTGATGCCCTCTTCTGTCATAAAGGTGTGCATGCAGATAGATAACAAATTTTTTAAAAAAGAAATTATTTGTTGATATAGTCAACGTGCAATTTATATTTACTGCCCTTGTTGTCTCAAAAATATCCCTTTCCCATCGATTAGTTTGAGTCAAGGTCCCTCAAGGGTTCATGTCCTATTTCCTTGTCAAGTCTCTTAGGTGTCTGTGCACGAACCTTCTTTGATATGTTCTGTTTGCTGCTGAAATGCTAGAGCAACGAGAAAGTTCTACTTCTGGAGGGCCTCCTGCTCGCTTCCCTGAACCTTGCCCAAATAACACAAAACAATTCTTCCCTAGAGTGTGTACATGTGTGTACATGTGTGTGTACACGTGTGTGTGTGAGAGAGACAGAGAGACAGAGAGACATACAGACACACACACACACACACACACAGAGAGAGAGAGAGAGAGAGAGAGAGAGAGAGAGAGAGAGAGAGCATGTGAACACATAGGTGCCACTGCAGGTGTGTTGAGGTCAGAGGGCGACTTGCAGCTCTCTCCTTCCACCAGGTGCATTCCAGAGATCCATTTCGGGTCATCAGGCTTGGCCTGGCTGCAAGCACCTTCAGCCTCTGAATCATCTCCCTGGCCTTGGGGTGTTTCTAAGTGATAAAAAGGACTTCCTTACAACCCTTTGAAATAGGTGGATGGTTCCAACAGTCTTCCTTTCTTTCATTTTATTTTCTTCCCCACCTCCTTCCTTCGGTCCCTCCCTCCCCCTCTTCTCTTGAAAGAGTCTTGCTATGAAGCCTAGGCTAGGTTAGAACTCATGGCAACCCTGCCTCTGCTTCCCTGCTGCTAGGATTACAAGCATGTACCTCTCACAAATTTCAAAATCTAAAAATCATTTCAAGTGCAGTAGAAGGGCAAGATTTGATTTAGTTCTGAGTTTAGAGGGTAAAAATTTCTGGCAACTGAATTTCTTCCAGGAATATCTTTTTATGCCCTCCCACCTGCATTTTGAAATCCACCAACCACAATATTTACTCCAGTCCCCTTTTTTCTCCCTTTCCCTTACACACCACCCCCCTCTCTTTTTAGCAGCCACACACAAGTCGGCCATATTAGAGAGATGGAAATAAAGCTTCCTTAATGTTGTATATGTCTTTGAAGTACATCCGTGCATTTTCTTTCTTAGCTTCTAACCATTCCTCCCTTGTGGTCCTTGGTCCCTCAATCACCCTCTCCCATAGCCCACCCGCCTAACATCACTGTCTCTGAAAATGCACAGGGATGCCTGGCTACCTCGCCCTGCCTTCAGTCTCACGGGGCTCAGTCTGTTTTTCACTTTGGGTAAGTTAGAACCACATCTGCATGCTCCTAAGGGTCAGAAGTGCAGCTGCAGCTGAAAGAGGAGGGGGCAGGGGGCAGGAGGGAAGGAGGAGTGTGAGCGGTTCCCTCTGTGTCCTTGGGACCGGGCGTGCTGGGGACCTGGGACTTAGCTGGGATTCAGGATGCTGGGCTACTCGGTCACGGAAATGTTGACTAGCGGATGAGTGTTGCTTGGGATGGAAATGGTCAAAATAATCAGGAGGTGTTTTTTCCTTCGGATTTCCCCCTAAGTGGACCTGTGTGGGGGTGGGGCAGAGCTGGGCTGCTCTGCATTCTCTTCGGGGATTTTCCTCTTCGTTTTGTTGTTATTATTCATTATTAGTGTAATTTTCATTTTCAGCTACTTCTGATGAGAGCTCTTAGGAGTTGCTGGTTTATTTAAAACGTCTCTTGTGTGAGTCTTGTTCCCTGGAATCCGGTGGATTTAAAGGGTTAGGAGAGTGTCTTCTGGAGAGTTGGGGGCAGAAAGTTGAGTCTGTCCCACCAGTTTGCTGGGATATGTGTGGGAGGAATTGAGGATGAGGTGTGAGGATGGGTTCCAGGATGGGGGAGACACCAGAAAAGCTGCTGTTGGGCCAGGTACCCCGGGCATGAACCGGATGGAATGGAAGAGAGGTCAGGTATCCAGGATTCAGGAAAAAGAAGAATAATAGAAATGGAATCTATGGATGAACAAGGTGTGGTATTTCAACACCAGTCTCAGAACAGAGATCCCTTGTCTTATGGTCTTAAAGTCAGTTTCATATTTGAACACCCAGAGGCTTCATACTAGGCAGGTAGGTGGGCTAGGCTATTTGGACCCCCCCCCCCATGAGAAAAGGTCTCACTATGTAGCCCTGGCGGTCCTCCACTCAATCTTTGGGTGATTCTCCTGCTTCTGTCTCCTCCTGGGAGTATAGACAAGCACACCATGCTGGGCTCTAAACCTGCTTTTTTTTTTTTTTTTTTTTTTTTTTTTTTTTTTTTTTTTAGTTTTTCAAGACAGGGTTTCTCTGTGCAGCCCTGGCCGTTCTGAAACTTGCTCTGTAGACCAGGCTGTGGCCTTGTACTCACAAAGATCCACCTGCCTCTGCCTCCCGAGTGCTGGGATTAAAGGCATGCATCACTACCACCTGACTTAAACCTGCCTTATAGACAGTTTTATTCTTATTCTTTTATTCTTATTCTTAAAATTCCCTCAGCAGGAGCTGGAGAGATGGCTCAGAGGTTAAGAGCACTGACTGCTCTTTCAGAGGTCCGGAGTTCAATTCCCAGCAACCATATGGTGGTTACATACAACCATCTGTAATTCGATTAGGTTCCCTCTTCTGGCATTCAGACAGAACTCTGTATACATAATAAATAAATAAATTAAAAAGAAAAAAGAAACAACACCTATAAAATTTCCTCAGCAGTACCTGAGGGTCCAGTCCAAGGATTGTAGGTGGACATCCTCCCCATCACAAATGTCTCCCTCTGGTAGCCTGCAAGATAAGGATCTAGCATCTTCCTTCTTGTGAAACTGGACCTAAGTTTAAAGTTATCTTTGTTCTTTGCCTCACAACCATGGGCAAGATGTTACCCACCCTGAGCATCACTATCCTGTGCAGACTGTTTCATGCTGAACTTGTGACCTGACACATAGCAGGGTCCCACAGCGACGGATCTTTCTAGATGTTTCCTCTGAGCCATGGCATGATGTGTCTTCCTTAGCTCTCAAGCAGTTATCTGAGGTAGACACTGATTCTATTCATATTTCAAGACGGAAACAGAGGCACGGAGAAGTTAAGTAACTCATCCAATCAGGTCATGTGACTGGCATAAGGAAGCTGAGATTTGAACTCCCACATGACTGACTTAGCACATTCTCTTTAACACTGAGTTCTACTGCCCCCAACATTCAGGAAACAATACTGCTCTGTTAGCATTAATTGGTGGGAGAATCTCATGTGCAGGCTAAAAGAGGTGGGGAAGTGAGTGATCTAAACACACACACATACACACACACACACACAGCCACAGCTGGAGGCCAGAGTCTCCTCTCAGGAGTTAGCCACAGCCTGCTGCTGGATGGAGTCTGTCTACCACAGCCACATCTAAGTCAATGAGGCCAGGGGCCCTGGCAACAGGACCAGCTGACCTGGGCTGGAGGGAAATGCACGGATGGAGCGGTCTGTGCATCAAGGCTGTAAGGGGCAGTGGGAAGAAGTGGGTATTTCAACAGGCTTATGAGAGTGGAGACCTTGATCTTGAAGCTGTGGGGAGGCATGCCTCTGCCAGCTCGTGCTCTGGGCAAGGGACCCTGGGTGGCTGTGGTAGCACGGATTACTACCATCCATTACCGGGATGGAGGGATGTCACAGATGTTAGGAAAGGCGGTGCATCAGAGGAGAAACATGCAGGGATGACTTTAAAGGTAGCAAGCAGTGTTTCTCAAGACCGTCAGTTCACCAGTCACTGGCCTGGCCATCAAGAGTCTGGATTATATTAGAGCAGCTAAAGGTGAGACCTAGGTGTGGAGGCGAATGTCTCTTTCCTATCCGCCACCCCACAATAACATCTAACTGAGCACTATGTGTGCTATATGCCTTTCTGGATGCAGGGATGCCAACATGAGTCAGGGGTTCCTCAGGGCCTCTTGAGAGTCACAGGCACACAAACAACAGCAACTCAGCATTGCATGTGTTGGAAGAGTGTCAGGCCTAATAATAATGCTAGGAGTCACCTCTCGCTAACAGCTGTGTACCGGGCGCTGTGCCGAGCTTTGCACATAGAGCACGTCAGAAACTGCCACAATAGCTTCAGTAGTGTTGGTGTCCCCCTGCATTACAGACGAGGACATTGCAACACTGGAAGGTTGATGGTCTTGCCGAAGCTCCTATCAACATCTCTAGAGTCCCAGTCTTGATCACTCTACCGCTCGGCCTCCAAGTCACTGGGAGAAACAGGAACCTGGCTGGGGAGAGGACCAGACACCAGGGAGGATGTCACCCGAGCTGGGCCTTGTGAATAGGGCTTGGGGTTTATGTGGAAGAGCTCCAGGGATGAGGATGAACTTCCCTATCTAAAGCAAAAACGTGGACAGGGGCCTCGTGGCGGGGAAGGAAGAGTAAAGTCAGAGTGCTGGGGTCACTGGGTCACATGGAGGGATGGGATCTGGCAGGAGAGGTGCTGCCGTGTGCAGCTGGGGCCATCTGGGAGCTGCACCCCATGCCAGAACTCAGCCCTAAAAGCAGCAGGAGGTAGGGAACATGAGTACAGCTGATGCTGGCTGCCTGGGGAGGAGACCTGGGCAGGAGAGTAAGCACAAAGGCAGGAGAGGACGCGGGGCTCCATGTCACAGTTGTCTGGGAGGCAGGGCTGCCCCACAGGACAATTCATTCCTCCTCCTTTTCCTCTTTCTTCTTGGCTCCCTCCTTCTCTCCTTCCCTCTCTTTTCCTTTTTTCCCCTCAAGAATAAAACTTATAGACTGCTTTAGAGCTAGAAGGAGGAGTAACGGGAGTTTACTTCCAGATTTTAGAAGTGACAGTGTTTGGCAGAAGAGCCCAGTTTCAGGGTCTCTGCAGGATGGGCCAGGGAGGACAGTTGATGGTCAGGGCCTGAAGGACCCAGTTGGGTCAGTCCTGGGTTGTCACACCCTTCCATGTCCCTTTTCCCATCACCCTCTTCCTGTGAGTTGGAAATCACAAGTCCTAGACCTCAGACCTGGTCCCTAATAGGAATCAGGAAAGTCGTGGATTCCCACTATGGAGTGAGTTCCTTAATCGAACACTGTCTGCTGGGGTCCAGCCTGGAGCTTAGGGCTGGAGCTTCCGTGTACACAGTAGAACGCCTTGGAATGATAATAACGTCCTTACCCAGCTCGACTCACCTCAGCCCTTTCTGGAACCAGGCAGCATGGATTCAGGTTCTAGTTTCATAACCTCCTGGCAGTGAACTAGGGCTAGCCACTTGATCTCTCTGTGCCCCATTTCTTCATCTGAAAGCGACCGGGGATAGATACCGCTTGCCAGTTGTGGCGTACTGGGCCAGGTAGCTATGGAAAGCCTAGCCGATGGCAGCGCTGCGGGCGCTTATGATGAAAGGGTCTTTCAGTGGACCTGGATCCGTCTACTTTCCAGAAGCACCGGGCTCTACTGAGCTCTGACCTTGCCCACAGCTTTCCTGAACATAGTGAGAGCCTTAACTGATGGGAGATGGGAACCCATGAGAGTCTTGTGAGGTCTTGGGCTGAATCTTGGACCAGCAGGTGAGAGACATCCTAGATTCAGCTTGTTCTTGTTCTCAGAGTGTCTCATAGACCCCTCTCCTCACAGTAAAAGATGGCAGTTGATCTACAATTCTGCAGATTCCCCTAGTTCTGACTTTCTTTAGTTTGGGGCCGGCTCCGGGGTTTCTTCTCTGCTGGTGGGACTTGGTAATTGACCTCTCCGGCCACTAGAGGGCACACGAATTCCATCTCGTGCCTCTTGCAGGGCACATACAGGGGGAATCCGCATTGCACCTTTCTCTGTCTCCTGGCACCAGCCTGGAAAACGCCTCTGACTCCCTGTAACTTTGCCGCCTGCCACAGTGGCATGGTGGCTCCTTCTAGAAGAGACGATGAAGGGAGATGTCAGTCAGACATCCAAGTTCAACTGCTGGGGCGGGACAGGTTGGAGAGGGCAGACATGGCCGAGCCAGATCGTTTCAGCGCCTTTGAGGGGGACGGGAAGCCCTTTTCGAGGGAGGGACTGGGAAGGTTGGGATGTCCAGCATGGGTCAACTCAGGACAAACCTCCATCAGTTCTTTCCCTCAGATTTCCCAGCCTCTGCAGAGTCGGGGCGGTGTTAATATTTTCTGCACACCTCCTCCTCGCCTGGCACTGAGCCAGGTACTTTTAGGCTGGATATGAAAGTGCAAGAGCCGCGGGAGCTGGGCTCCGTCCCTCCTGGGAGGGACCCCCATTAGCCTCCCCAACTGATGTTCCCCTTGTGAGCATTTCAATGCTCAGCTAGAGTCATTGGCCCTGCAGGTGAGGTCCATAGGTCTGCCCCTATCCGGGCTTCGGAGGAGCCTTCCCAGCCAGCAGTCCAGAACCTCCTGTCCTTAAGGTCTGAGCTTTGCAGGGTCAGCCTGAGTGAGCAGAAGAATGCTCTCGGCAGGCTTGGCTTCACAGCCTGAGGGCTGTGATACTTGTGTCTGGGAGTAAGGCCTGGTTCCTTTGCTAGATCTGAAGGAAATCCAAGGAGGTCTGTCTCCAAGTTACTCTCAGGTCTAGAGATCTCTCCCCCACCCCCATGCCCTGTCCTCTTTCTGTCCCCCAAGCAGAACTTGAGGAGAATGAGGTTAATAGCAGCCGCCATTTGCTGAGCCACCAGGCGACTGTCCTGTCCTGAGTTAGGTTTTCTGGAGGAGGGGGCTGAGGCATGGGGAGGTGAAGGAGTCTGCCTAAGTTTCTTACAGTTGGTTGAGGTTAGAGCTGGGATAGAATCCAAGTGGAATCAAGGTGTGTGTGGGGGGTGGTGGTGGGGGTATGCTTCTGTCAGAATCTGTAGCTGTAATTTTCACTCAGCTGGCCACACCCCACCCTTAAACTCCCCAGAATCATCCCAACTCCTGTGTTCTGGCCCCTTGGCCCGGTCTTCGCTCAACTCTGATGTCAGATCTTACCATGCCCTGGTTTGGTTTGTCTCAGATGTGTGAAGGTCCATCCCCACCATGAGTATGTGGCGCTTGATAGTCCTAAATGGCTCATCCCTTCTCTTGAGTTAGATGCTTCCTGAATGTCCCGCTCTCAGAACCTTGTTCCCTGACCTCCCTGAATAAAACAACTGCCCTCTGCCATACTTTAGTCCACGTCATGTAATGCTCCAGACAACCACATTCCTATTTTTGTTGTTGTTGCTATATGCTCCCTCACCAGAATACAAGTCCCACAGTGTAGTGCCTCTGCCTCCTACTAGCAACTCTCAGGGCCTGAGACTATACTCCTGGAACACAGTAGATTTGCCAGCACGAATGAGGGCTGGGAATGTGGCTCAGTCAGTAAAGTGCCTGCTGACCACACATGAAGTCTTGTATTTGATCTCCAGCAGGAAATAAACTGGGTGGGTCTTACAGGTCTGGCCCACCCCTGTAAGGCAAGCACTCAGGAACTGGAGGTAGGCAAGTCAGAAGTTCAAGGCCATCCTTAGCTACACAGTCAGTTCTAGGCCAGCCTGGACTACAGGAGCCAGACCCTGCAAACCCCACACACACAAAAAATCAATCAATCAATCAGTCAATAAAGCAACACAACAATAACAGCAAATCCAGAACAAACAAAGAGTAAAACAAAAACAAAAAAAATAACATTACAAATGACAATGATGGTGGTTGCCACTGCTGGGTCTGACCTGGGCAACTGCTCTACCTCTGAGCAACCCCCAGCCCTGTTAATACTAAATCAATTTTTCAGAGTGAAGTTTTAGCAGTCTTGGATGAGGATCTTGGAATTAAGGTCAGGGCTAATCTGAGGCAGTCTGAGTCCGCCTGAGGAGGTATTTTCAGCCCGTGAAAGTACAAGTCTCAGTGACTCCGGGGCCCTAGGCAGCTCACCTGTCTTCCTAAGCTCTGCTTTGCTCAGAGAACCCTACCTAGCGGCACTTTTCTGACTAGCAGCACCCACACAGGACCTCAAAGAAACTTCTGTTTCTACCCTGCCACCTGCCAACTTGAGCGGGCTTTTTGCTGTGGTGTTTCCAGGCCGACATTTTCCAAAGGCGAGCTCATCCCCTAGGCCAATCAATGGGCCCTTAGAGGAGTGACACCTCTTCTCCTGGGACTCCTCTTCCCTCCTGTATACCCTCTTTCTTGTCTGGGGATGATCAGATGCCTGCTGAGCTAGGTGAGAGGGAGGCTTTCATGGCCTTCACTAAGCTTTAGCTGACTGCCCCACGGGGACAATGATGCTTCCCCTGGCAGGGGTCTCTGACACAGTCAAGATGACCAGAAGTATCTGGAGAACAAGGGGAAACCAAGGCAGGGAAATGGCATGAGGATAGGTAGAGGCAAGTACGGAGTCTGCTCACAGTGCCTTAGAAAAGGTTGAGACCATTTGGCTGTCCATGGCCTGGCAGACAATTCGATGGCTCTCCTCTGCACCTGTTCTGCCCCCTCTCCTCCTGGTGACCACATCTGGTGTCCCTCATGGGCTTTGCCTTCCCAACAGCAGCTGTCTGCCCTGCCCGTGCCCCCTAACTCCACTGCTCTGCCCCCTCCATCTACCCCCCACTGATTACAGAGGGGTTGCGACCCTCCAGCCCCGTCTCCCAGCATCCTCATGAGATTATTTTGTCTGCAGTACCCCCAGGACGGAGCATGGAAGTCACAGTCCCCACCACTCTCAGTGTCCTCAATGGGTCTGACACCCGCCTGCCCTGTACCTTCAACTCCTGCTACACCGTGAACCACAAGCAGTTCTCTCTAAACTGGACTTACCAGGAATGTAGCAATTGCTCAGAGGAGATGGTAAGTCCCAGTGGAGGAGGAAGTAGGGGGAAGCAAGAGCCCTAAAGCATGAAGCCCAACACTCCCATCCCTACGTCTGCCCTAGACCAGGGCCCCGGAAGACTCTGGGTAGGACGTCTGACACAGAGGGTATGATGTCACCACAACTTTGAGGCTAAACCCCCTTTCTGCATGGGAGTCCCATGTGTCCCTATGATCCTCACAGCCTCTTGCTCAATCAGATGCCCATGCTATTCTCCCCCGCCCCCCGCAATACCCCAGTTCCTCCAGTTCCGAATGAAGATCATTAACCTGAAGCTGGAGCGGTTTGGAGACCGTGTGGAGTTCTCCGGAAACCCAAGTAAGTATGACGTGTCGGTGACACTGAAGAATGTGCAGCTGGAAGATGAAGGCATCTACAACTGCTACATCACCAACCCACCGGACCGCCACCGTGGCCATGGCAAGATCTACCTGCAGGTCCTTCTGGAAGGTAAGGGGGACCGGGCTACTGAAAGACACTGACCCTTCTCCTCAGCCTAGGCACTTCAGGGAGAGACTGGCAGCCCGTCTCATCTCCAGGTGCTTGTGCTGGTGAAAGATATCCATGCCTAGGCATCCACGCCTTCTCTCTGGCCCTGAGGGAACAAGCCAACCACAATCATAACCCTTAGTAACAACAGCAGCTTTCATAGGCTTTACCTCTTTTCCTCCACAGAACCCATGGAGAGAGGAGCTATTATGCCCATTGTATGAGTGAGAAAACTGGGGTTCAAGCATATCATATAACCCCTAACTCCTACAATCAAATTTGGGTCTGATCTGAAAGTCCATGATCCTAAATACTCCATTCTGGGGATGGAGGTGCTTATTGGGGAAGCTTGGTGGGGATGCTTAGCGGTCAGTGGTCTAGGTTGCTTTGATTTTGACTAATGCCCTGTCCATGAAGATGAGTCAAATCAGAGTCCCTCATATTTTGGAGAGCAGGGGAGACATCTTCTCCCCAGCTCTATGGCTCTGCTTCTTTTCCCCAGTGCCCCCAGAGCGAGACTCCACAGTGGCAGTCATCGTGGGTGCCTCAGTGGGGGGCTTCTTGGCTGTGGTCATTTTGGTGCTGATGGTAGTCAAGTGCGTGAGGAGGAAAAAAGAACAGAAGCTGAGCACGGATGACCTGAAGACCGAGGAGGAGGGCAAGACTGACGGCGAGGGCAACGCAGAAGACGGTGCCAAGTAACCGCAGCCCGCCCCGACGCCCCTCCCTGTGTCCTGTCTCCTCTCACTCTCTGCCCTGTACAGTGTAACCCTGCCTGCTCTCTCTTGGTGTGCTTCTCTCAAATAGGACCCCAGATTGACCTGGGGCCTCACTTCCCATCCCCCTACCCACCCATACCAAGGGTGACCTCCCTCCCTTCATCCAAAAACTGCCTTGGTATCTGAGATATGCGAACCCTGGGGGGAGCAGAGAAGGGCTCTAGCCTGTTCTGTTAGTCTTTGAGGAAGAAAGAGCATGTGTGTGGTCCCAAAGATGGGATGGGGCAGGAAGGCAGTGGGAGAAGAGGCTGGTTGCCCATCTTGTCTAGGGTTTGGTCTGGTGGTGGTTTAAACTGTGGGGGTAGCAGTGTGTGTGTATACGGGGAGGGTGTCCTGTGCTGACCAGAGGCACCATGGGAATGACTGTGCCCCCATGGCTACTCCCAGCACAGAACAACCATCAGGCTGGGGATGAAGGTGGGGTCCTGCCATTTGTGGGGGCACTTTTAAAAATGCATTTAAAGTCAAGTGCATTTCGAGGGCGCTCAAGGAAAGCTGGGGCTGAGGCATTCCTGGACACGAGCCTTGGCCCAGAGAACTCTGTTCTGGCCTCATTTCCATCACTAGCTGCTCCCAGGGAGCCTCTGGTTCGCTGTTGACTACTGTTCTCTTGGGGATGCCGGCAGAAGCGGTGCTGAAAAAGCAGCATCAGGCAAGATCATGGCCCACCCTAGGGACCCCCAGCAGGATCATTCCCCACCTTAGGGACACCCCCAGTAGGATCATGGCCCACCCTAAGGACCTCCCCAGTAGGATCATGCCCCACCCTAGGGACTCAGAGCAGGATCATTCACCACCTTAGGAACCCCCAAGCAGGATCATGCCCTACCCTAGGGACCCCCAGCAGGATAATACCCACCCTATTGATCCCCCAGCAGAGTCACGCCCCACCCTAGGGACCCTCAGCAGGAGACCTGTGTTGGAATCTGCTAGGGGACCAAGGGGTGCTGACTTCATTACAAACACGTTTAGCTGCCTTCTCTAACAAGATGATCACCTAGATCTCAGCCACTAGCAGCCAAGGCTCAGAACTCGTGTGTGTGTGTGTGTGTGCGTGTGTGCATGTGTGCGTGTGTGTATGTGTGTGTGTGTGCAGTGTGTGTGTGTGCGTGTGTGTGCGCGCGTGTGTATGTGTAGTGTGCGCGTGTGTGCGTGTGTGCGTGTGTGTGTGCGTGTGTGCGTGTGTGTGTGTGTGTAGTGTGTGTGTGCGCGCGTGTGTGTGTGTGTGTGTGTGTGTGTAGTGTGTGTATAGAGGACAACTTCCTGCAGGACTTCAGTTGGGGGTTTCTAGTTGCCTTTGGCAGGGTTTCCATCTGGCTTTTGGCAAAAGAAAGAGAAGGCTGGAGGGCAATGTGAGAGGACTCCATAGAGCCTCTGAGCACTCACTGCCCCAGAACTCCCTTTGCAGGGGAGAGAGCTGCTCTCTTGTGGGAAGCCAACTTTCACTGCCGTTTTAATATCATTATAAGGAACTTGTCTAAGTCTAGAGCCGGGGAGAAAGGCGGGGTAGAAACCGCTCACTGGAGAGCATGGTGTTGGGAGATGCCCAGAGCCTCCTACAGATCAGGAGACTGAAGTGACCAACAGAAGCTGAAGGAAGGTCTTGCCCAATTCTGGCTCCCTGGTCCCCACTTAGAACAAATAGAGCTTCCTGGTGGGAGGACCTGAAGTCTAGAAGGTGTTTGTGTGTGGTGGTGGTGGGGTTCACCTAGCCCTGCTCCCCTCCCAGAAACTCAGCCCTTATACGCTCAGGGAGTTAGCTGTCCAGGGTAAGGAGTGAGTGTGGTGGAGACAGGACCACGACAGTCTCAGGGACCAATCCTTGCCTCTGCTTATCAGATAGCCATCTAGAAGAGACAATGAGAGCAGATGGGCGGTTCCGTTTAATTCACTTCCATTCAACAACCATTTCTTGAGCGTCTGCTCTATGCCAGGCACTGTGCTGGGTGCCAGGAGAATTACAAAGCCATAACAGGGTTAGGGACTGCCAGATCTGCACTGTAGGACCAAGATTAATATTTTGGTGCATCTACTTCCACCTCTGTAGCCGCTGCTTCCACAAGAGAGTCAGGGGAGAAGGAAGAAGGCTTTGGAATGTGGAGCTTGGGAAAGCAAGAGGGCAAGGGAAGAGGGAAGGTACCACTGGGAGGGGTCAGGGAGGTTGGGCATGGAGTAGGGGATGGATAACCAGCCAGAGAACTCTCCCGGTAAGATGAGTCTAGCCCTTCTGAAAGTTCTACACTCTTTGGCTCAGTACCTAACTGCCAGGCAACACACCGCCAAAGGGAGTAGGCTAAGCCACCAGAATGTCTGGAACAGGTAGGCACTGCGTATCCTTCAAGCCAGCCAGCTAAGGGTGGAGAGATGAGTGGTGGGCACCTCAAAGCAGCCAGAACCAGATGTGGTGGTATATACTTTGGCGGCTTGGAATAGTGGGTTCTCATCGCCTTGCAAAGGCCCTCTTCTCTCAGGATGCACTGACTTTGTTCACATTATGTGGGCTACTTGTGAGCCCCCCTGAGGGTTGTTTTTAAGAAGGTCTGTCTCTTTAAGAAGTTGGAATCTCTTGGGGTCTTTTTCTTTTCTGCCCTGATGGAGTGGGGTCCAGGAAGAGCAAGGGAAAACAATGCTGTCTCTGGACCCCACCGGCTGGGCCAGGAGCTGTTTCTGCCCCAGGTGCTTGCCCTCATATTTGCTTTCTTCTGGAGCGGCTTTAGACCCTCCTCCAGGGCTTCTGGGCTGTGAGGTTGGGAACAAAGCCAGGCTTCTGTGAGGTGAGGTGGGAAACCGTGAGATGTTTCCACCGGAGACTTGCTCAACCTTGCTTCCCAGCTTATGCCTGCAGACTGCTCTCTCGCTGCCGCGTGGGCTCCGGCCTCCACTTCTGGCTGCATGCTCCCACCACTGTGCTCTCAATCACTCCCGCCTTTCCTGCCCTCCCAGAACCCCCACCACACATCCCATCTGCCTCTTCCTCCTAATTAAGGGCCACTGCAAAGAAAGATGGACTGGCTAACCCATGGGATTTAGCTTATGAGAACAAAGCACAATTTTTCAGGACTGAAAATGCCTTGAGGTGCCTTGGAACTGGCTTTGGAAATAGCTTTCTGCCCCTCCAGCGATGAATTCATCAGTTATTCCCAGTTTATAAAAAGGAAAAGCTGATTGGGTCCACGTTTGCCTGCGAGTCTCCTTGGGAAAGTTGGGCTGCTAAATATTTACAAGATCAGGTTAAGGAGGCAGACGGGTGGATATACTGGCCAGGTCCAAAGAAGTTAGTCCCAGGTCATAGGAATGGCTTGGTGCAGTTGGAACGGGTGATAAACCAAGAAAACTTTCTTCCTACATATGTCTTAAGGATAGACGGCCTTGTTGTGCCTCTTGCTGATGTCTTCCTCTATTGACGCTTGCTGATGCGATTGTACATAGCCTTTCTATATAGGTATAGATATATTATATATGCATAGATAAAACATCTCACTATGCCCACCCCAACAGTTATGCTATTGGGGCAAGGGCATAACCATGTCTCAGTGTTTCCTAGTAGATTCACCAAAGGTTCCTTATGGAATGTTCTTTATGCTTTTTGGGGAGAGCTGCATAGCAAGCGCTTATGCACATCTAGGTTCTACGTGCTGTTTGGTGGTTGAAAGGAGTGGTTGGGAGGGGAGAGAAGCTTAAACAAATGGTCTTCTGAGACCCGACTGCTGGGAGCAGGCTGAGTTTCTTTAGCAGTTTGTCTGGTTGCTTGGATCTGTTGGCTGCAATAAACACACTGTCTCCCCTGAATATCTCTCCAGTGTGGCGTTTTTTGTTTTGTTTTGTTTGTTTATTTGTTTGTTTGTTTTCCAGGGTAGGGGAAGGAGAAAACTGAGGGAGGAGGAGGTTTTTCTGGGAGTCTGATGAGAAACCCTGATGCTCTTTCACAGCCCGGACACCATGCATCCTGCTGAATCTGAGGGCCTCAAATCACTCACCTTGCAAGAAAAAAAATGAAGTCTACCTGCCCCACTCTTGTTTTTTCAACCTGCTTGCTTTCCTGGACCCCAGAGGACTCTGTGGAGGGCCGCAACCACATTCTCCATTACAAAATGGCGCTGGCATCGAGCGCAGTGAGAGGTTGGGTGCGCGCAAGAAAAGGACAGTCCCTGATAAGAAAAAAGGACCCCCCGGTGGTTCTAAGAAAATAAAAACGGGGGAGAAGACTGACCTACAAGGTCAAAAGCTTTCTGACACCTCCTGCTTAAAACCCAAAAGGTCAGAAGGATCGTGAGGCCCCGCTTTCACGGTAATTTGCAGAGCTTCGAGCTCCTGCAGAGGATATAAACTGCTGTTCTTTCCTTTTTTCTTGTTGTTGGTATCAGAAAGCTTTTGGCCCTCCACAGGACTCCATCCTCCACAGTGCTTACTTTGAGACAGGAGACTGAGTATCCACTTCTGGGTTACTTCTGGGATGGAGATGACCCTTATGCACCCAAAGCTGGCTGCTCTGCCGATGCCGCCTGCTCTTCCCATAGACAGATGGACCATCCTTCCCGCTCCCGGTTTCTTAGCAGTGTCTGACGAGGTAGTCAGCTCTCGGGCTTGCTCTGGAATCCAGGAAGAGAGGATGGAAGCTGGTCAGAGAGCCCCAGTGCAGCTTCAGTGGAGAGGGTGGCTGCTGGGAAGTCTCTGTCTGGCAGCCTATGGCTCATCTGCATTTGTAACATTGTATCCTATTTACATAGTGCTGACTCAGCCTTCAGATATTCAAGGACCAGAGAGATGGCTCAATGACTAAAGGTACAAGTATCTTCCATGCCTGGGACTCACATAACAGAAGGAGAGAACCAACTCCTGCATATAAACACACACACACACACACACACACACACACACACACACACACACATGCTAAAAGTGTAAACAATAACAATGTTCAAGACAAAGATCATCCTTCTGTCTAGGGACTTAAACTTTCTGAATGTCAAGAAAAGTCTGTAAGTAATAGGTCATTTTTCTCTAACATTTCTGCCTGTTCTCTGGCTACCTGGAGACCCTCCTTAGTGGTTAGTGGTCAGGAATACTCTAGGAAGATCTCAGGACTAGTAGCCCTAATACTTGTAATGGCCACAGATGTGACCTGAGTGAGACATCAGGAAGGAAGCAGTGTTAAGCAAAGGTGGCTGGTGTGGCTGGCATTAGGAGAACCAGAGGATCTTGGTTTAGGAAGGTGCTTATTCCCTGGAGCCCTTGAGTCCTCCTGAAAGCAGTATGTCAGACAGGGTGTCTTTGTACTCAACAGAAAGAGAAACTGAGGCAAGAGACTAAGTAGAAGAGACACTAGGGAGTGTGTCTGGTTCCTTCAGGGTGAACATAGGCACCTGATGCTTGGCCAAGTCACCATCAGTCATTCTCTCTCTCTCTCTCTCTCTCTCTCTCTCTCTCTCTCTCTCTCATAACATTTGGAAGGTTTGAACTGGGCCTGACTTCCAGGAGGTGGGGATTCAGGCATTAGCCTTAGTTTGATATCTTTGACCTGCTTGAGCTCAGATGGGTTAGTTTTGATTGCAGTTCCTTGCCTTGGGGGAGCAGACTTCCCCTCATCCCACCTCCTTCTCTAATTGGTCAGGTCACTGGCTTCCTGAGTTCCTCAGCCTGCTGAGAGAACCAAGCCAAGCTATTCCTTCACTATCCTGATGGGAAGCCACTTGTGGGATAGGAATCTGGACCATAGGAATGGAGCAAGCAAAAAGATATTTCCAATCCTCAGGGGCTGGAGGGCCCCCACAGAATTCACAGCCAAGTCTTCTCAGTGTCCTAAAGGGGAAA